CCCCCCCCGCAATCCCTTTTTTATTTTGAGACAGGGTTCCCCAGGCTGGGCTAGAACTGGTGATCCTCCTGCCTCAGCCTCCCAGAGTGGTAGAATTACAGGCATGTGGCACCATGCCCATCTTTTGTTATGTTTGTTTGTTTGTTTGTTTGGTACCGAGGATGGAACTCAGGACCTTGCACTTGCTTGCGCAGCAGGCGGCAAAACCACTGAGCTAAATCCCCGGCCCTGTTTGATTGCTTTTTGAGACAGGGTCTCACTGTATATTCTAGGCTGGCCTTGAACTCACTGTGTAGCCCAGGCTGGCCTCCCAACTCTCAGCAATCCTCCTGCCTCAGCCTCCAGAGTGCTGGGATTACAGGTGTGCACCACCACGCCCATTTTAAATTTTCATTTTTTAAAGATCTTACTTTTCTGTTGCATGTACGTATGCACTCCTCCCTGTTTGATGCCATTGTGACCGTGAGTGTCACTTGGTGTTGGGCCCTTAGTGACTTACCCAGGGCTTTGTTCTGGACACTTGGCTCTTTCAGGCCTCGTGAACCTGCTCTTAAGATCCCTTGGAGTCGACGCCCCAGGCCCCTCCTCAGCTACCTCCCTTCATCGTGATGCCCTCGCCCCTTCTGCCAGCCACCAGTGTGGTGGCTCTTTATGCCTGTGGCCCCCTTGCCCTCTCCAGTGCCAGCCCATGCTCTCCCCGTGGAATGGGAACAGGTGGGGTCCTGCAAGGCCCAGGTGTTACCCCCTTGGTGCCCAAACTGGCATGCCCTGTGTCCCCTCACATGTGACATCCTGTGCTCAGATTGATCCGCCAGTGCCAGGCTCAGCCATAAGGACGTCCTGGGTCCTGGGGACAGGAGGGATTCCAGGGTCCTGTCTGTCTTCATGGGTCCCTTGGGAAACAGGGTCCAGGCAGGAGACATGGTGGCTTTCCCGATCTACACAGCCTGGCAGGGGCAGGGGCAAGGCCAGGGTGCGTTGAGCCTGGGCAGCCACCCTCACGACAGCCCCCCTCATGACACCGCGGTCTCCGCTCTTTCAGGCCTGCGGACCATCGGCGTCATCACCAAGCTCGACCTGATGGACGAGGGCACCGATGCCAGGGACGTCCTGGAGAACAAGCTGCTGCCCTTGCGGAGAGGTGGGGCCCGGCAGGGGCCGGGGCCGGGAGGACAGTGGGCACTGTGCCTTTATTGTTTGTGTGTTAGGGACGCAAGTGATCTACCACTGACACGCACAGCAGCCCCCTTGTATTAGTTTTTTTTACTTCTTTCTATTTTGAACATTTCCAGACACTCCAGAAATAGAGAGGAAGGTTGCCAAGGAGCCTTTGTGGGCGTGGGGTCCGGCCTCTGGTTGCCACACGTAGCTAATACCAGATCCCCAAATATCCTCATCAACTACTGTTATTTTCTTCCTGATGATTTTATTACTGCTACTACTACTACTACTACTACTACTACTACTACTATTGCTATTATTTGCAATACTAAGGATGGAACGAACCCCTTCACACTGAGCTACATCCATAGCCCTTTTTATATTTTTAGACAGGGTCTCCCTAAGTTGCTGAGTTAACCTAGGCTGGGCTAAAACTTGCAATACTCCTGCCTCAGGCTCCCAGAGTGCTGGTGTGATAGGTGTACAGTACCACACCTGGCTAGTTACTTTTTTTATTTTGAACGCAAGAACAGTAAAAGTTTATTAAGTGTGTTATGTACCAGATAGTGTTTTAAGCTTAGTGTTTAAGAACCCATTTAATCAGCAATGCTACAAAGGGGCTCTGTTTTCCTGCCTCTTATATAGAGGAAGAAACTGAGGCACAGAGAGAGTGGATCTACTCCCAGAGCTAGGGAGCAGCCAGACTTGATTCTGAGCCCCAGAGCTCCAGCACTGTGCCACCTCGTGACTCACTTGCATGTTTCCGGGCATTTCCACATGGCAGGGAACTAGTCCTCCAGAAGATTCTAGAAGGTTCTGGCAACTTCCTCACAGGGGCCCAAAGGCTGTCACAGTCCTTGTCTGTTGGGTGCCAGGGCTGAGAGCCACCTAGGTCTTTGTCCAGACCTCTCCTTCCCCAGGGTTCACCCTCTGCTGTGTCACCTGCCTGTCTCTGTGGCTGTCCGTGTCACCTTGACTTTTTCCTTTGCTTGTGACACTTGCTGCCTGGGTGCCTGGAATAGGTCTGGGGCAAACTTCAGGCCTGGGTTGTCACCTTCCCCACCTGCAGCATCACTGAGACCTGGAGTAGTGTGGTGGCCTCCATGAGAAGGGAAGGAGCTCAGGGTGGTGCAGATAGGGGTGGGGAGGGGCACTGTGGCCCATGGAGGCTGGGCCTGAAGAGGAAGCTGGCCCTTCTCAACCCATGCTCTCCACAGCCACTTGGCCCAGCTCCACCAAGCCCCTTGGGGCTCCCCCTGAGCCTGGGGGCTCTCGGCATCTGGGGTCCCCGGCAGGGCTTGAGAGCGCATGGCACAGGCCTCCTCTGCCTCTTGCCTCCTGACATCCTCATCCAACAGTCCTGGCTCTTCTGGCACTTTTGTGTGAGTATTTGTGAGTGTGTGTGTGTGTGTGTGTGTGGCACTAGGATGGAACAATGAGCTATAGCCTCAGCCCTTTTTTTCTTTTTAGATAAGATCTTGCTAAGTTATGAAGTCACCCAGCCAGGATTTGAACTTGAAGTCCTCCTGCCTCAGCCTCCCGAGTAGCTGGGATTAAAGCAGGGTCATCATACCTGGCCTTATTATTCATTTATTTCTGTGGTGTTGGGTATGGAACCCAGGTCCTCATGCCTCCTGGGCCAGCACTCACCACTGAGCTGCACCCAAGCCCCTATACCTGTTTCTGACTTTCTCTTCCATGTCACTTCCTTCTGTCTCCCCTCATGGCCTCCATGTGCTCTCTTCCGCACCTGACCTCGCTTTGCCCAGCTGCCTTCTCCACATTTGCGTTGCCGCCTGTGGTGCTGCCTTGTGGCCCAGCTCCTGGCCAGGTCCAACAGGGACAGGCCTGGCCTTCCTGCCATGGCCCCCGCCCTGACTCTCTCTCTCCCTGCAGGCTATATCGGCGTGGTGAACCGCAGTCAGAAGGACATTGAGGGGAAGAAGGACATCCGTGCGGCGCTGGCGGCCGAGAGGAAGTTCTTCCTCTCCCACCCTGCGTACCGGCACATGGCCGACCGCATGGGCACCCCACATTTGCAGAAGACCCTGAATCAGGTACGGCAAAGACCTGGGGCTGCCGTGTGCGGTGGAGCAGGCTGGTCACTGCACAACAGCTTTCATCCACATTGGGCTGTCCTCAGTCTTGAGCATCAATTGTGTTACCAAAATGGGTTCAATCTATTTTCACTACTCCCATAAGTGCATTTAAAGATGTGTGGGGGTGCATGCCTATAATCCTAGCCCTTGGGAGGCTGAGGCAGGAGAATCACCAAGAGTTTGAGGTCAGCCTGTGCTCCATAGTGAGTTCAAGGGCAGGCTGGAGTACATAATGAGACCCTGTCTCAAAAAATTTAAAAAGTGCATTTAATTCCAAGACTGGTGAAGAGTGCGTCTTCAGTATGTTGGTACTGTGACTATTTTTAGTATTGCTATTTTTATTACTATGATTTTAATTTCAGTTGTAATTATTCAGTTATATGCCCAGAAGTTTGCAGATGGCCCCTGGGATTGGTGGCCTTGGTTAAAGGTCACCTAGGCTGAACCAAGGCTGGGTGGCCAACAGCTAAGTGGGGGCCGGGGATTTAGCTCAGTGGTGCCACCGCCTGCCTCGAAAGCACAAGGTCCTGAGTTCTATCCCTGGTAGCAAGTAAGTAAATAAATAAATAAAAATAGCTAAGTGGGAGGCCTCTGTGGTTGACCCTGGAGGGTCCTACCCCGGTCCAGGCTCTGAGTTGGTGGCCCTGGCCCACTGTTCAAGACCCTGTCCTCCTGCCCATCGCTAGGAGCCTTGCATCCTAGGCCTAGAATGGCAGAGAGCTCCCTGATGTCCTATCCCGCTTCCTGTAGTACATGCTGGGGGAGTCGTAAGTAGGGGTGCCTGGTGGGGGCATGCCCTATCTCCCACAAACCCCTCTCATTACCAGCCTGCCCCAGCCTGAGTTCCTTTCTGTCCACAAAAGCAGGAAGGACTTTGAGAAGTTCCCCTTCTTCTTTATCAAAAGGGACACAGTCCCGATCCCCACCCCTCTTGCTTGTTTTGCACAGAGGGATCTCAGGGAGCCCCATCCATGGGGAGCCTTCCTCACCCTCGCTGGGAGCCCCTGGCCCTGTCCTAAGCTCCCAGTCAATGTAGGGCCTTGGGTGATAACATCACGCAGGTGTGCGGGTTCCCGTGGGCCAGGCCCTGGTGTGGGATTGTGCAGTGTCATGTAGTGGCTGGCGCCCAGCCTGGCCTTCGTCACCTCCCCGCTTTGCCCAGCCAGGGTTGTTCCCCACCTGATGTCTCCCCGGCTATGCTCTGGCGGCTGCCAGGATGGGGGCCTCAGAGTGGACACATGAAAGTCCTTCCTTCCTTCCCTGATGCCCAAACTGGGTGACAGTGGCACGGCGAGAGCAGGAAGCCTGGATTCTGATTGGGGAGACAGGCGGGAAACCAAGCCTGGATAAATAAGCGGGGAGCAGGTGTGAGCTGGGTGGGGAGTTGCTGCGGAGAAGAGGGAAGTGAGAGGGACCCCAGCATCCCCTGGGTGGGGCTCTGAAGGACCGGAAGCCCGCAGGCGCTAGGGGAGGAAGGCAAGAAGGGAAGGAGCCCCTTGGAGGCCGTGAGCCCTGCTAGAAAGGCAGTCAGAAAACATCATCTGGCCCCAAACAAATGCATGTCCTCTTTCCTCCCTCTCCAGATGGGTGTGCTGTCCCTTCCCCAGAGGTGGCCTTTGTCACCTTTTTCTAGGCTTCCTTCTCGAGACACTGGAGAAGTGGATGCCTCTGTGTACTGTACAGCCCCCTTCCCTCCCCACCTTCCCCTCCCCTTCTGTCCTCTTCCTGTCCCTCTTTTCTTTCCTTTCTCTTCCTTCCCTCCCTCTCTCCTTTTCCTTTCTTTCCCCTTTCGTTCCCACTCCTACTGTTTCCCTCCTTCCATCTCTTTTTATTCTCCTTCTGTTCTTCCTCTTCCTTCCCTGCTCCTCCTCCTCCTTCCCTTCTCCCTTCTTTCTTGCCTTCCCTCCCCTTCCTTCCCTTTTCTCCCCTGCCCTGGACAGAGATAACTTCCCACTGCTTCCTGTCTGCACACTCAGGCTCATCTCATCCCTGCAAGCAGTGCTGGCTCCCTGTGCCCACAGGGAGCAGGAGACTCCTGCTTTTCCAGTAGGCTGAGACCCTGGGGTGCTGCTCACAGTGGAGCACAGGCTTTGAGTGCACCAGGCCCTGGGTTCCATCCTCAGCCTCATGAAAAAATAATAAAATCAAAGTAGAAGCATAGAGCAGAAGGGACTGCAGGAAGCCTGCTCCTCCCAGCCAGTGGAGAGCAGCACCCTCTTTGCCTCTCCAGAGTCTGTCTTCCCTGCAGATGCAAACCTGGCCACTCAGACAAAGCGCTCCCCATTCTCCCTTCCCCACTGCCCAGGGAGCTCTTGCTGTCTCCGTGCCAGCCCAGTGCTTTGCCCCAGTGACCCATCACCAGTCTGCCGGCCAGTACACTGCCTGAGTCAGGTCTTTCAGGTCCCCACACAGACCTCGCTACCTCGTCCTTGCAAACAGCTGCTGGGGACAGTTTGCACACCTCCCTGCCTGCCCGCACCTGCAGGGGACCCTGTGAGCCTCTCTCCACAGTGCCTTGCTCCTTGGGACCCCGGGCCTGCCACCTCTCCTTGCCCTGCTGTAAGAGTGCCCATGTGTGCGCAGGGCCCTTCTGTCACTGTCGCTCCGGGCTGTGGAGTGAGCAGGGCTCAGGGTGGCCTCAGCCTCCTGCCCGTGCTGCCCTGTCTCACCTCCCATCTGTCCCCACAGCAACTGACCAACCACATCCGGGAGTCATTGCCCAACCTGCGCAGCAAGCTGCAGAGCCAGCTGCTGTCCCTGGAGAAGGAGGTGGAGGAGTACAAGAACTTCCGGCCCGACGACCCCACGCGCAAAACCAAAGCCCTGCTGCAGTATGTGTGGCCCTGTCATCTGCCAGCCTCGGGGTTCCCGCGCGGGTCCTCATCCCACCTGTGCCGAGCACCAGGGTTGTCACAGTGAACAGGACAGGTGTCTGTCCCTGTCCCCAGGATGCTCAGGAAGAGGGGAAGGGGGACAACAAGACAGAAAATACAGGAATATGTATAGTGAAAATTCAGGGTTGGTGGTGCACACCTATAATCCCAGCCACTTGGGAGGCTGAGGCAGAAGGATCAAAAGTTCAAGGTGAGCTTGAACAACTTAGTGAGACCCTGCCAGAGCAGGCTGGGAGGACAGGAGCCTCCAGAAGACCTCGAGTTGCAGGCAGGAGCTGCCGGGTTTTATTCTTTTTTTTTTTTCTTTTTTTGGTGCCGGGGATTGGACTCAGAACCACTGAGCTAAATCCCCAGCCCCTGAGAGCTGCCTTTTGACCCCACTTTCCAGCACATTAAGTTGAGCTGGGGGCAGTTTGCACACCTGCGACATCACAGGGTCACCCACAGACTCCGAGCAGTAATTGCCACCTCAGATGAGGCCAGTCATCTCAAAAAAATAAAAATAAAAATGACAGAAGGAAAGGAAGCCGCAGCCCGTTCAGAGCCTGACTCTGGGGCTGGGTAGATACCTCTGCCTTGACCCTCATGCTCTCTTCTTCCTCCCAGGATGGTCCAGCAATTTGGGGTAGACTTTGAGAAGAGGATTGAGGGCTCTGGAGACCAAGTGGACACGCTGGAGCTCTCGGGGGGCGCCCGTATCAACCGCATCTTCCACGAGCGCTTTCCCTTCGAGCTGGTGAAGGTAGCCACTGTCTCTGGTCAGGCGCCTCCTGCTTGGCCGGGACTTTGTTGTTTTTTCAATACTAGGGATTGAACCCAGGGCCTCTGAACTGAGCTCCATCTCCAGCCCATTTGTTGATTGATTGATTGAGAAGGTCTTGTGAACTTGCCTGGGCTGAGTTCAAATTCACAATCCTCCTGCCTCAGCCTACAAGAGAGCTGGGGTTACAGGTCTTTGCCTGGGTATCCTGGGGTTTTCTGCCCAGAGAGCGAAGCTCAGAGGCTCTGGGTGAAACTGTGAAAATTATGTTTTCTTCCTCTGGCAAAACCTATGTTCTTTGCAAAATGTCATCAGCCCTGCAAATCCACAAGTTTTGCATCCATGAATTCAACCAACTGCAGATCAGAAATAATGAGAAAAGAAAAATATGTGCCATGTCGAACAGTCCTTTCTTGTAATTTTCCCCTAAACAGTACAGTGTGACAACTGTCCCTGTAGCGTTACACTGTATTAGGTATTCTCAGTCAACTAAAGGAGGGGCCGGGGATTTAGCTCAGTGGTGCCACGGCCTGTCTCATAAGCGCAAGGTCCTGAGTTCGATCCCCAGTACCAAAAAAAAAAAGAAAATAGAGGTACAGTTAGCTAGGGATGAGGGTGCATACCTAGAAGCCCAGCGCCCTGGAAGGCTGAGGCAGGAGGGTCACAGGTTCTAGCCCAGCCTGAGCAGCTTAGCAGTGTAATGAGAGCCTGTCTCAGAACAAAAAGAAGAAAGGGCTGGGGATATAGCTCAGTGTGAAGGCCCTGGATTCAATTCCCAGTACTGCCAAAAAGAAAAGAAAATGGAGGTAAACTCACACAGGAAAGCATCCTTGGTGTGTTGGTGGCGCCGTGTATAGATGATATAATAACTTCATTCTGTAAGAAGGGCAATAATTCACACACTCTCTGGTATGAAATTGTACCTGTGTGTAGTGTATCTGTAGATAGCTCTGCCATGATGCTTGTGGAAATGTCAGCTCTGGAACTTTCTGTTTTCTTTTTTCTTTTCCTTCTTTCTTCCTTCCTTGTTTGAGAAATGGTATCATTGTGAGGTCCAGGCAAGTCTTAATCTTGTGATCTTCCTGCCTCACCCTCAGGTAGCCGGCATTATAGGTGTACATGACCACACCCAGCTCGCTCCCTCTCTCTCCCTCTGTCTCTGTCTCTGTCTCTGTCTCTGTCTCTCTCTCTCTCATTAACTTCTCATGATGAATCTCATGATCAGAACTCACAGGTGATGGCGTAGGTGCATTGTCAACAGGCCCTTGATCCATACAGGCAACGCATGCTAGTTTCACAGCTTCTTTGCTGAAACTGGTGGTTTTACCTTTTTCTTCTTGGTTTTGACCTGGTAAATACTCTGCCCCATGAATTCAAGCGCACATAGGCTGTAGCCTCCCCGCATGCCCCCTCGAATGTGTCTGCCTCATCTCTTTTTTTTTTTTTGGTACGGGGGATCGAACTCAGGAACTTGTGCTTGTGAGGCAGGCACCAGAACCACTGAGCTAAATTCCCAGCCCTATGCCTCATCTCTTCTCAGATGGAGTTTGATGAGAAGGACTTAAGACGGGAGATCAGCTATGCCATTAAGAACATCCATGGAGTCAGGCAAGTTCCCCTGGGGGAGTCACCATTTGGGGTCCCCTACCTGCACAGGGCCACCCTCCAGCCAGCCTGCCCCTACTCTGAGCTCCCCGACTGGGAGGTGTTGAAGTTTTCCCATAGCTAGAAGCCTCCCCTTGGGATCTCCAAGGGCATTGAGGACAGGCGTGTTGTGGTCCCTTGTGGCTGTGTCACAGGCCACAGGAAGTCCCTGGGCCCCAGGTAAACCCAGCTCACCAGGAAAACTGAACTTGCTGCAGATCTGCTGCGGGTGGGAGGGGGCAGAGCTGAGTCAGGTTTGTCCCCAGATCAGGTCCCCTCCTTATTCCGACAAAGGAAGTCACTCCAGTCATGCAGTCTTCATCTCCACAAGGTCCTCTGGTGGACTCAGGCCCCCGCCCCTGAGAAAAGCTGGTGTCTGGAAAATGGCTGACCTACTGTGTTTCTTTCTGACTTATCTTCCTTGCCCCTGGGTCGGGGCGGTTTTAGGACTGGGCTTTTCACCCCGGACTTGGCGTTCGAGGCCATTGTGAAAAAGCAGGTGGTGAAGCTGAAAGAGCCCTGTCTGAAATGTGTGGACCTGGTTATCCAGGAGCTAATCAATACAGTTAGGCAGTGTACCAGTAAGGTATCAGACCCTTGGCAGTGCCTCCTGGCCTTGTGGAATCGGGGGGAAGAGGGTTTGGTGTCAGGCCCCCAGGGCCGCCCAGCATCCAGGCTACCTCAATGTCCAAGATTGTGGCCTCTTTTCAGAGCTGGGGACAGAAGCAAGTGAGCCTGCACCACCCCCTGGGGATGCTGGGCCTCTGGAACTGGCCAGCCAGGTGCACGGCCGCCCTGGGACCCCGACACCAGGCCTAGCATGTGTTTGGTGGAATCGGGCTGTCGCTTTGCTGACTTATGGGAAGCAGAGAGGGAGCCTGCGTCCGCTGCTGGAGGCCAAGCCCCCAAAGCTCCCTGGCTGTCACCCCTTCTTGACAAATGCCTGGTGTCCTCGGGCTTCCCTGGAGGCAGCCACTTTTCTGTCCCCACGGCACTGGGAAAGGCTGGAATGCCAGCAGCATAATGAGTGGCCCTCAGTGGCCCTGCCAAGTCCCCTGCACCCCATGCTGCCATCCTCCCTGCCCCAGCCGGCCCATCCTCCATCCGCCTGGTGACAAGTGCCTGTGTGCCACCATTCCCAGGCGACTGCCTCTACCCTGGCGGGATGTGCCAGGCTCCTCCACCAGGTCCTGTTTCCCAGGGCAGTGAGCTTGGCCAAGCAGCGGAAGTGCTTCCAGTTGGGCGTCTGTGCTTGCGCGACCGTGGCGTCCCTGGTGCTCTGAGTTGGCAGGCAGTTTCTGCTCGAGACTTCTGACCTTGTCTGGCCAAGCCCCCATTTGCTGCTTAAGCTTCTTCGATTGGAAAAGGGAGGGGAACAGACCAACCCAGATAGCTTGCCTGTCATCACCCTGGAGCCCATTGTCACGGATGTGACCAATCAAGACCTTAGCTGTCCAGAGGAAGACAGCGTCCCATAGCACATCTCTGACGAACCCCAGACGCAGCCCTGCCACTCCCGGCCTCCGATCCGAAGCAGCTTCGGGGGCAAATGTGGGCTCAGGCTCCTCTGCGCATGGACTAACCAGCTGATTCTCATTTCTTCTCTCTCTGTCTCCTGTCCCGGGTGTGTGGCCTGCACTGTCCCTGGGTATCTTCCTACCTCGTCCCACCCTCCGCATGACCCAGGACGGGGCTCTTCACCCCGGACATGGCCTTTGAAGCCATTGTGAAAAAACAGATTGTAAAACTCAAAGAGCCAAGCCTCAAGTGTGTTGACCTCGTGGTCTCAGAGCTGGCCACGGTCATTAAAAAGTGTGCCGAGAAGGTAACAGGTTTGGTTCCCATCGTCTCTGCATTTGTCTCCCCATCTGCACCCCTCCATTTGTGAGTCTGAACCCAAGCATCTGGAAGATTTTGCCTCGGGGGAGCACCCCCTTCTGTGGACCTCAACATCTCAGCTTTGCATCAACAAAGACGGAACAGGGTGGGGGTTCATGTCACCCATGCGTCCCCACCTTTGTAGTTTTGGGTACCGCTGGAGACAGAAAGTCTTTAACATTGCCAGATGCATTGCATGTATGAAGCATTGTGGGTCCCTTTTTGTTTTTTGGTACCAGGGATCAAACTCTGGGACCTTGCGCTTGCAAGGCAGGCAGTAGTAGAACCACTGAGCTAAATCCCTGGCCCTAAGGATCCCTTATTTTTATATGTATTTATTTTCTGAAACTGGGGATTGAACCCATGGCCTTTGCACTGAGCTACATCCCCAGCCATTTTTTATTTTTTGAGACACAATCTTGCTTAGTTACTAAGTTGGCCAGGCTGGACTTGAACTTGTGATCCTCCTGCCTCAGGCTCCCAGAGTGCTAGGATTACAGGTGTGCCCCACCACACCTGGTCTGCTGGGTCCCTTAGAGAAAAGCAATTTCCCCGCTGTCACCAAGCAGTGAAACACATCAACACGTGGACCTGTGTTGTTGAGGTTTTGATGAACAACTTAACCATCCAGTTCATTTTCCCCCACTGTGGGCTGAACTCAGACTGCAGATGATGTGACTCCCCCACGAGTGCTTGGGCTCAGTCACCGCTGCATGTCAGAGTGGGGAGGTGGGGGCTGTCGGCCAAAGATGCTGCTGTTGGGAGTGGTTTCCAGCAAGGGGGTTCCCCCGAGGCCAATGATGCAGATGCTACCCTGGCGTCCTGGAGCAGGTGCTACACACTCCAAGCTTGGTGGGGGGCCTTGGGGGTCCCGCCTTCACCCAGCTCGGGGTGGGAGGGGGCTGCGGGACCCTCGTGTGGCAGACGCCGTACACTTGCTTCCTCTGCCATTCTCCACCCTTTGGTTGCTGGCTTGCAAAGCCACCCTTTGCATGTGTGTGTGGGCACCTTCTCCGCTCCATCCTCACCACCCTGTTCTTGTCTCCTGGCCAAGTGGCTGTGACACAGGAGCAGAGTTGGATTGGGGGCCCCTCATGTCTGTCCCCCTACATTTTCCATTCATGTGGTTTACATGGCTCCCAACAACGCTTCTCCTCTTCTTGTTCCCCAGCTCTGCTCCTACCCCCGGTTGCGAGAGGAGACAGAGCGAATCGTCACCACATACATCCGGGAGCGAGAGGGGAGGACCAAGGACCAGGTATTGGCTCCTTATCTTCTTTGTTGTTTGTTTTGTTGTTTTGTTTTGTTTTTGTTATTTTTGAGACAGAGTCTCACTATGTAGTTCAGGCCGGCCTTGAACTCACTATGGAGCCCAGGCAGTCCTCCTTCCTCAGCTTCCCAAGCGCTGGGATTACAGACATGGGTCATTACACTGGGCCAGCCCATTTTCTTCTTTCACAGATATAATTTATGTGCTATCAAGTTTTAATGAGTTTTGTTTATTTTATGGTGCTGGGGATTGAACCCAAGGCCTTCCCGCTGAGCTCCATCCTCAGCCCTTTTTATTTTTTATTTGGAGTCAAGGTCTCATTAAGTTGCTTATTTGCCCAGGCTGTGCTTCAATTTGAGACCCTCCTGTCTAAGCCTTCCAGAGAGCTGCGATTATGGGTGTGCACCGCCACAGCTGGCTCTGTTCTGTAAACTTTGACAGATCCATACAGCATTGTGACTCTCAAATTCATCATGATTCATTGTGGTGGACTGGAGGTGCGGGTCAGTGGTAGAGTGCTTGCCTAGCATGCACACAGTCCCTGCTGCCCTAGTGCCAGGATTGATCAAGCGCCGTGGGGTAACAAGACTGAGGCCTCTAAGATCCAGCCTCGGGGGGGCTCCTTCTGACACTTTCCAGTCAGCCTGAAAGTTTCCTGCTTGGCCCCGTTTCAGCATGGAGTACACAGGGGCACAGGTGACTGGCCCGGGGCCAATGGGGGCCTAGTTGGGGGCACCAGAGTTGCTGCCCTTCAGTCCAGCCTGTTCTTAATGGGCACTGGGCCAAAGAGCTGTCTGAGCCGTGGTTTTCACTGACGAGCCTTGCCCTGGGCCAACGGCTGAGGAGAGGCCGGCAGGGTTTGAGCAATGAGCGCATGTGCAGGGCCGGCCAGTGCCCCAGGCTGCACCTGTCCTGGCTGCACGTGGGGTGTGGAGGCCTCCATCTTCAAGAGTTGCATTTTCATACTCTCGTGTTGCCAGATTACTATGGCGCTTTTTGCTGGGTTTTTTTTTTAACATTTTATTCCCACTTTAAAACGAGGAGAAAGGTTGCAAAAATAATAGAACACCTGTTGGTTTGTTTGTTTTGTTTTGAGACAGGGTCTCTCTCTATGTAGTTCAGCTTGGCCTTGAATTCACTATGTAGCCCAGCCTGGCCTCAAACTCATAGCAATCCTCACGCCTCTGCCTCTCAATTGCTGGAATTTCAGGTGTGCATCACCATGCCCAGCTACTTGTGTATTCTTTATTTAGAATCAACTATTGTTACCCTTTTGCCCTTCTGCTTTTTCACTTGTTCTATGTATGTGTGTATGTGTTTTACAGCGTGGTATGTACATTAAACATGTGCATGTATATGCGAGAGAGAAAGAGAGAGAGAGAGAGAGCTCTTCAGTTTCAAGGTGGCACTACTAACGTGCCAGGATCTTGTCTGAAGTCTTTGCACACTAAATGAGGTACCCTGGTTCGGGGTGTCATTCAGTGGTAGGGCACTTGACTATCATGTACAAGACACCGGGTTCTATCCTCAGTACGGTGCAAAAGAAAAAGAAGGGGACAAAACAATGAAAAGCTGTGGCAGGCCAAATAATGTGCCCCAAAAGACATCTGTTTTAAAATTTGCAGACTTTGGAAGTTGTCAGTTTATGTGGCAGGAAAGGAGACAGGCAATTATTCTGGATCTCATTCCACAGCTTGGGAGCATGAGGTCCAAGGTCACAAAGCCCGTTGGAGGCTGACCCTCCGAGACTCCAGCCCCAGTAGAGACTCCCTGTGCTGGAGACTCCCTGGGAGCCAGAGCCGGAGCTGGAGCTGGGCTCCGGCCTGGGAGCCCTGCTGGCTCTGCGCCCCCTGCTGCCAAGTGTGGGAAGCATCTGCCTGCTGCCCCTCCTTGCTCCCCTGGATTCTGTCTTCATAGTGACTTCCTCTTTCCCCAGATTCTTCTTCTGATCGACATCGAGCAGTCCTACATCAACACAAACCACGAAGATTTCATTGGATTTGCCAAGTATGTACTTTTGGGGACTGTGCGGGGTGGGGCAGCAGCAGTTCCCACCCTCAGTGTCAGACCCGGAGATGGTGGAGTTCAGGTTCACTCAGAGGGCAGGAGCCAGAGGGTCCCCCACTCAAGGGTCCCTGGGTGAAGGACAAAGCCATCTGAGAATACCGGATCCCTTCCAGGCTGATTGTGGCCCCTCCTGGTGTCCTCACCCAGCTCAGGGTGAGCTGAAGGAAGAAGGGTCAGCTCTGTGGTTACACTCTGGTGCTGAACTTCTCCCTCTGCCACAGGACTCCCCAGAGGCTTTCATGCACCAGGGTGCAGCTTGTCTCAGACTCAGGCTACTCTTAGGGATGGGCACTCAGGTCTATCTGGCTTCCACAGCACCCGGCTGGGAGTGGGCTCTGGTTTAGGAAGAATGTAGATGCAAATCTTGGGTGTCATCCCTGATTCTGTCATTCCTGGGCCCTGCAGCAAGCCTGAGAATCACTGGGACCATTCTGGTGGCCTTAGCAGGTCTTCCTGCCCACGGCTCCTAGAACATCTGACCCCTTCAGCCAGCTTCTTTGTACCCACTTAGTGGAAGCTGCAGACCTCCTCCTGGGCATGGAGAGTAGTGGAGCAGCTGTTTTCTGGGCATGTGCAGTGCTGGAGTAACCAGCCAGACCTGGCCAGGTCCCCACCCCCGGCCAGGTCCCCACCCCCAGAGGAAGCCCAGACCTGCACCCAGCCAGTCAGGACGCAGTATGCTCACAGCCATGGTCGGGGTGTGTGTGTGGGGGGGGGTGGGATCCAGGGGTGACCTTGGCATCCTTGAGGAGGGCCATGGAGCTGGGGTCAGAGCTGTGCAGTGCTCTGGGTTGAACATTATCCATGCACTGAGTAGGGCTGATGGAGCATCTGTTCTGTGCTGGGCACATGTTAGATGAATGGAATGAATGAATGAATGGGCACGACATCCAAGCTCCGCCCCAGGGCCCTGGCGCTGGGTGTGCATGGGCAGACAGTGCTGGCCCCCTCTTTGTTTCACTGCTGTTTTCCTCACCGTGATGTCTCTGCTTCTCGCACTTCATCCACAGTTCCTTCTCACAATCTCTCCTGTTTTTCCTTTGACCACTCCACTCTTTCCTCTGGATTCCGGGGCCTTCCCACTCACCCCAGCTGTTACTATACTGAGCAGCTGGTCACCGGGTGGGTATTGCCTGCTGTGTGCCTTTGCCCTGGTGTGTGAATGGGGGCGCCCTGGCCGGGTGGCCCCAAGCCCCAGGGGTGATGTCCCAGGGGCCCACTGAAGAGCGTCAGAGCACTTGCTCAGAGCTGGGGCCGTGGCTGGGCCTTTGGACGGGACAGTGCAAAAGTACCCCTTGCCCCTTGCTCAGGGCTGGGGATGTGGGAAGGAAGGCCTAGAGGGCAGTAAGAGGTGATAGCATGGCCCTGCTGGAGGCCTGCAGGCTGCGTGGAGGGGCCAGGAGCCTGTGGGGAGTATCAGATGTGGGACTTGCCCTCGCTTGGTAAGTGTTGGCTTTGCAGATCCTCCCTCCTTCAGACACTGTTGGTCGAACTTCTCCCTGTGCTTCAAGGTTCTGGGCTTTACTCTGCCCTGTGTGCACTGCAAACAGCCAGAGCAAAAGCCCTAAAACAATCTCTTGGAATGTTAGGGGAAATACTGCATACAATTTAGCCCTCATTTTCTGTTTTTCTTCAGTAGAGAGGATTGAAGCCAGAGCCTTTGCACTGAACTACATCCCCAGCCCTCTAAAAAAAAATTTTTTTTAAAAAAAATTTTGAAACTCATTAATTTGCCCCAGCTAGACTCAAACTTGTGATTCTCCTGCCTCAGCCTCCCAGAGTGCTAGGATTACAGGCGTGTGCTACCACACCTGCTCTGCCTCCATTCTTAATTTTCCTACCGTCTGGACAAAAGCCTATTCCTGTCTGTCTCTCTCTCTCTCTTTCTTCCTTATCCAACAGTCAACTTGAACTTTTAAGGCAAAACCCCTAGCAGCAGTCAACTGGTTTGCTGTTTAATGTTGTTCTCAAATTTCCAGCTAAAGCAAAAAGAAAATAAGATGGATAAGTAATAGGAGATGGAAACTGTTCACAGGTGTTGATGTGTTATTGGGGTAGAAAATCTATTAGAATCAACAAGGGGCGGAGGGCTGGGGATTTAGCTCAGTGGTTCTGGCACCTGCTTTCAAGCGCAAGGTCCCAAGTTCAATCTCCGGTACCAAAAAAAAAGGGGAGGGGTGGAGTGGGAGCCCCTGAAAACATGGTAGCCTTTGTCTGTACCTAAATTAGCTGGGTGGGAAATAAGTGGGTAAAGGAGGAAAGAGATCTGGGACTGTAGACAAAATAAGGAACCTTGTTGAAACACACCCTGTTGGCCTTGGATGTCCTCCAACTTGGGTCAGGAGCCCAAGATGAGTGACGTTTTCACAGCCAGTAGCTGTCCCAATGTCTGGTCTCCAGGGCTGGATGGCCTTCTGGTTAGAGCAACCTGTGACCTGGTGTTGGGGTCAGGGATGTGAAGAGAGAGCAGGAAGAAGCCTCAAGTATCTGAGCCCCACTAGCCTGCTGTGGTTCCCCCTGCAGCCACCTCCTGGCCCCTCATGGGCTCTTCTGCACGTTCCAGGGTGCACTGTACTTAGGAAGGAGCAGGCACTTCCAGGATGGCGGAGACCAGGGCCTAGAAACCTCGGCTTAAAGAGACACCTTTTCTTGTTCTGTATACCCAAGCTCTTTCAGGCAGCGATTTGTACACAAGGGGCATCTCTGTGCCTGCAGCTGCTCAGTGGGCCCCCAGGGAACAAACCCCCATCTGGGCCACCAGGGCGTCTTGCTCCCCATCCCTCCTGCATCGCGCCCACATGCGCCCTCTCTGTGCTTTGGTTGCAGCGCCCAGCAGAGGAGCACGCAGCTGAATAAGAAGAGAGCCATCCCCAACCAGGTAGCTCACCCGGCTCTGGCCACCACTACTCCCAGGGGTGGGAGGGCACACCAGTGTGACCGTTTAGCACGTGGGATGCCCTGCCAGGAGCTGACCCCATGGCACCAGGCCACCTGCTCTGTCAGCCTCAAGGGTCTGAGTGCTGAAACTTTGGCAGGGCCTGGAGGTAAATGTCACACTCCAGAAAGCCTTGTGGACATCAAAGGCCAAGGTCAGGTTCTGGCCCTCAATGCAGGGGCAATATAGCAGTCACCTCAAGTGTCTGCAAGCAAAGGGGGTTTCCTGGCTCCTGCCCCAAGGACAGAAGGCCTGTAGATGGGAGCCATAGAAGGTGCATTACCACCAGCAGCTCAGGGAAGTCTGGGGTGTTTTGATCTCCATGCCCTGAACCTTGAGATCATGCCCCAGATAGAGGCCTTGTGAAATAAGATCAGCTTTATAAGAAGTTTCTGCCACCTTCTCCCCATTCTCCACATCAGGCTGGGCCAGGGCGGGGGCAGGGGCTCTGCTATTTATCTTGCACGATTGTAGAGCCTGATTGAAAAACAAAAAAGTAACCACTGCATGATTTGTTTTGTTTTTTGTTTTGCGCTTGCGTAGGTAATATGTATATTGTTGCTTTTTCATTTTGGGAGACAATAATGAATTAAATAATTAACACCATGGATATAATTAATAGCATGTCATTTTTTTTCTTTTGCTGTTTTTTTCCCCTGCTCATTTCTTCTCCCATTACTCTGCTTTTTCCTGCTTTTTCTTCGTCTCCTCATGTCCCTTCGTCTCTTCCTCCACTCGCTCTTCCTTGATTTGCCCACAATCCTAACTTTGCATTCTCAAAGGGGGAGATCTTGGTAAGTACCTGCTTAGTGCAGTATGAACATTAGAGAATCTTGTAGTGGTGGAGACTCTGCCTGCCTCATAACACCCCCCCCCCCAAATAACAACAAACTAAAACTCAAGCTAACCTGGAATCCCCATATTGTGGCTGTCACTGGACTTGGTGTTTCCTGGGTGTCTGCTGTCCTCACACAAACACTAACCTGACTGCTGCCTTTGTTGGGAGCTCAACCCCTCTAGCTAATTCCTGCCAGACTATCTGGTGTTCCATAGGTCAGGGATGGCAAATACCACACCTGCCTCCTCTCTCTTCCCTGCCTGTGGATGTGGATGATTTTGTTCAAGCCCTGCAGGAATTCATTTTTGCTGCTGCTGCTTCCTCAGGGCAGAAATCACTCACTGATCAGAGCAGGTGTCCTCCTGCAGAAACTCCTTCCTATGCCCATGGCAGACATAACTAATTGATCGAGCACTGTTCTCCTTGTTCCATCTCTCCCTTGCATGCCCATGGCAGGCATAGCTAACCAAACCTGGCATTCTTCCTTAATAGGCATGCCACCTGTCCCTCTTGTGTGGCTGATGTGACTAACTAAGATACTTTTTATTTTTCTACATGGTGTCCTTCCCTGTATCCATGGCAGGCCTGACTAATCAATCCAGGGACCTTTCCCCTGGATGCTAGCCTTCTGTTTCCAAGGATACTATGACAATTGATAAGGCCTTTCTGTTCCACTTTGCCTTTGCCTGGGACAGACATCACTAATTTGACCCTAGCGCTCTTTCCTGGCACTCTCAAAATTCTCACCACAGTGGGCCCAGGCATCTGCTACCCCCAAGGTGAATTGTATTTGCCATCCCTGGTGTAGGTAATGCCTGCTCCTTCTGCAGGGAGCCCTAGGCTGGGCCCAAAGAGTGGTGACAGGGTGCAAACTTTGTCTGGAAGGGAGTAGAGGCTGCTCCTGCAGCAAACAGCCTGTTTCGAGCCATCCCCTGCAGGCCGAAGGATGCTTTCCCACTACCAGCCGTTGAGGTCTGGGTAGGGCCCCCTGCTGCCCCCTGCAGAGATCTTTCTTCAGCTGAGGCAGTTTCGTGCCAGCTTGGGTACCCCTAGATCCTGATGCAGATAGAGCCAAAGTGCAAAGCCTGGCCACCTGGCAGGGGAGGCAGGAGGAATAGATCGGCCTTCAGCCTATGGTTCCCTCTTTGATTGTGCCTCTGTGTCTCCTTCCCCGCAAAGTCCCCATGTCCTTGAACAGTCTCCTCTCCCACACAGGCCAGGCCAGGTGCCTGCTTCCTCCCCCACCCCCCAGAGGTTTTGTCACCCCGGCCACATTGCCGTGAGTGTGGCCCGAGCGCCATCCCTGCCCGGGACCCTCACCCAGGGAGGAGGCAGGCCTGGCCTCCCCGTGGACTCAGCCGCGCTGCTTCTCGCATGCTGTCCGTGCCGCCCCAGGCAGCCCCCTCCTGTGTGTGCCTGCATGCCTTCCCTGGGTCCCTGCCTCGGGAGCCCCTCTCCCTCTCCTATCTCTCCTGCCCCTCCCTCACCTCCTTCTGAGCCCCTAGAAGGGGATGTGTCTCTTGGGCACTAACTAGCCTGCCCCCAGGGAGGCATTGTCCCCACTGTCTAGGTGGCTGGAAGGAAAGGGTGCTTTGGGGGGTCTCTGCCAGGCTGACCAGCACCCCTGCTCTGGGGCTTGGGGATGCTATTCCTGGAGCGGCTTCAAGCAGTGCCCCTGCCCCTAGCCATGGTGGTCCTGGCCACTGGGGCATGGTCAAGCACAACTACATCTGGGAGTATAGAGCCCCCAGATGTGGGGGAGCACCAACCCCCTGGGCCCCTATTTTCCCTCTTCCTAGGTGTCATTCAGTAACTGTACCCAGATCCATGAAGCTCTTACTCTGTGCCACACTGGAACTAAGACCCGTGGTGGACAGAGTAGAATGTGGCCATGGAGACCCACATGGCCCGGGGCTTCTGGGGCCAGAAGCAGGGGTTCCTCCCCTGGGTCCCTCACAAGTCGATCTCACCTCAGTATGGAAGCCAGCAGTGCCAATGGCGTCACCAGCCATCCTGGTTCACCTGGAGTTCAAGGGGGTTCCCAGAACATGGGCCTTTGCTGCTAACACCAGCGTGCCCTGGGAAAAAGCCAGGCTGAGTGGGTCACCTTGTCCCCAGGGAGGACACCATGCCCTGGCCGGTAGTCAAGAGCCAGTGGTTGCTGTCCGCTGGAGGCAGCTGCAGGATTCCTGAGCCCATTTGTCATCCAGGACTTGGCCCAAGTGAGGGATTCTAGCTGGCAACTTATGCTGTCCCCCGCCTTGGCAAGTACTTTGGTGTGGTCCTTGGGCCTTTGGTGGCGGCCTCTGCCTTTATGGCCTTCTGGGGCTGGGAGCCCACAGGCAGTCACTGGGGAGGGCAGGGCCGTGGCTGGTGGCTTGGTTGCGATCTGACAGCCCCGGGGCAAGGGAAGAGGTCATGAAAGCTGCCCACCAGTGAGTCGCCTGGGCCAGGCTGACCCTGAGAAGTCCCACCCAGATGACCAACCTCAGCCTTTCCTAGCCGGCTGAGGCCACACACAGCCCACCCTCCGAACTTGGCCTGCCTGCTCCTTCACGCGCTGGCCACTGCCTGCAAGTCCCCAGTCCCAGGGGTGAAGGGCTATGGTCCACTCATGCCTCTGTGTCCTAGGGGCCATGGGAGCATGAGAACATGGTCCCCCAGGCTACCTGCATGTAGCTGTCAGCTGAGTCCCTGTGCAGGCCTGGCTTCTGCCTCCACTCAGGTGACAGCCACAGCCCAACAAGCCCCACCACAGGGCCTCCCAGCCCAGGCTCCTGAGGTAGAATTTAGAGAAAAGTGCAGTGGCCAAGCCAAAACCAGGCAGGAGCACAATCCTCGCCCCTAATGGCCCTCTAGAGACCCCAGGGAGGTACTTCTTCATTCCCAGCTCTCAAGGTAGAAATGTCCCCCGACCTGGTGACCTAGACACAGATGCACTCACAGCATGGGTGACAGTGCGGGCTGTGCATGTGGAGCCTTTGCTGGCGGCACCCTGAAAGGAGAGTGAGGAACTATCCCGCAGTGTGGGCGGCTCCTCCATCCAGGGACAGTGGCCTAGAGGTGCGGGCTGAGGACTCCTTGGGGTACCTTGTCCACCCAAAGAAGGGCAGTTCCTCAGGTGTCGTATCCTAGTGCCGTGGGTCCTGGGCCAAGGACGCGCTGTCTGTCTGCTATCTGTCGAGCACCTTGCCATCTCCAGCTGGGAGCGCTTGGGGCTGGAGGTTTCTGTGTGCTGTGGGGCGAGGGTGCTGGCTGAGGTGCTGGGGAAGGTGGTGTGGGCAGCAGGGCGAGGTGGGTGCCGGCGCCCCTACCCCTAAGTGGCGCACTCCCCCCCAGGTGATCCGAAGGGGCTGGCTGACCATCAACAACATCAGCCTCATGAAGGGCGGCTCCAAGGAATACTGGTTTGTGCTCACGGCCGAGTCGCTGTCCTGGTACAAGGATGAAGAGGTGAGTACCCAGCGTGGTGGAGCAGGAGTGGGTGGGCACCACTGTGCTGCCCCCAAGCCTGGCATGAGGACCCCAGCAGTCAGGGCCGAAGGGCTGGGCCCTCAAGGTGGCCCGGAGTCAGGCTTGGTGGCCAGGCAGTGCTCAGATGGAGGAGATGGGAGGGCTGGGGCCAACACAGATTGGATGTGGACCCTTAGCCTCCCTCCAGAGCCACATGAGGGGTCGGGGACTTGGGTACACAGCCAGGTCACTGGGTACGTTGGTTTGGTTGCCTTGGCTTGGCCAGGCCCTGAGCCTGTCTGGCCTCAGTTTTCTTATCTGTGAAGAAGTGGAACAGTCCCTGCACCCATTGTAGTGCGTAGCACGGGAGTCTGGAAGTCTGCACATCCCTGCCATGGAGAGGAGATGGGGAGGCCTCAGGCAGTGAAAGCCACGGCACCTGTGGTGTCTCTGGGGGTGTGGGGGGTTCATTCATACAGCCTGAGGACTGCACTCTCCACAAACTTGTGGGTGGGGTGTGTGGCCTTGTGCAGCCCTCGCCTGCCCGGTGCGCGTTGTGTCCAGGCAGCTCAGCCAGACACTGCTGCCTGGCCACTTGTCCTCAGCGCTGACCCACCCCCTCCTGGTGGGCCCATTTCTGCATGTATGTATGTATTTGGGGTAGGCTCTTTTTGTTCTGTTTTGGTTTTTTGAGAGGGTCTTACTATGTAGCCCAGGCTGGCCTCAAACTCAAGAGGATCCTCCTGCCTAAGCCTCCTAAGTGCTGGGATTTCAGGCATACACCACAATACCCAGCTGTAGAACTCTGGTAATTGCTACATGGCTTTGAAGTCCATGCCCTCATGTCCCCACCCAAGGTCTCTAGCAGCCCCGGGGAGGGAAAGAACAGCCAGACCAGGTAAACCCAGGCTTCACTGGTCTCCTCTGGACAGAATCTGATCACACAGCCACTGAGTGTGGGGACAAAGCACCCAGCTAGTAAATCTAGCACTAAGAAAGTGGGCCAGGTGGGCATGGTGGTGCACACCTGTCATCCCAGCACTCAGAAGGCTGAGACAGGAGGGTCAAACGTTCCAGCCCTGCCTGGACTTAGCAAGATCCTGTCTCAAAATTCTTAAAAATGGGCTGGGATGTATCTCAGAGTGAATCCTCAAAGGAAAAAAAGAAAGGAAGGAAGGAAGGAAGGAAGGAAGGAAGGACGGAAGGAAGGAAGGAGAGAGAGAGAGAGAGAGAGAGAGAGAGAGAGAGAAAGAAAGAAAGAAAGAAAGAAAGTGGTTTCTGAGCATGAGAACTAGGGCCTGAGGTCTGGGGTTTCGTCGGGATCTCCAGGAAGGCACAGTGGCTGACTTGGCCCAGGCCTGTGGTGGTGAGGCCGGGCTTCACTGGTGACCTCCATAGCCATGCCGGGCTCTCCTGCTGGCAGGGATGCCGAGGTGCTCCTGAGCCCGCAGGCCAGGCCCAGCCTGTGTTCTCCCTGGAGGGGCAGGGAGGGGGCGCTGGAGTATTGTCACTGCCCTGTAGCCAGCTGGCCTCAGCGAGTAGGGGGGTGTTTACAAGGTCCCGTGCCAGGCATGCGAGCCAGGAGAAGCCACTGTCCCCCTTCCTCAGCAAATCCTGGGGCCCCCTTGGGTTGGCACTGCTGTCCCCTCATTTGCTAGGTGGGGACACTGAGGCCTTGGGCAGTGACCTGGAGCGCTCCGCCTGTACTGTTCCCCGAAGTCCAGATGTCACGCCAAGGGCAGGGTTGGGGTGAAATGGGGTCATCTTGCTCCTCCCTGTCCGGTCCCTGGAGCCTTTGAAGCCAGGCAGCCTCAGGGACCTTGTCAGGGTCTGTTTTGAGCCAAGGTGTCAGGGTCTGTTTTGAGCCAAGGTGTCAGGGTCAGCAGAGCTGCCACAAGAATTTCTGGGTTCCTGCAGCACCCCAGGCCCAGCGAGCCTGCGGGGTGCAGCAGAGGAAAGCAGTGCAATGTGGACCAGTCTCCTTGTCACGGCTGCTAAAGAAGCACAGGGACACAATCGTGGCTGCAAGTGGCTGGGGTGAGAGCTTGGGGTGGCCCTGTGGCCACTGGTCCCCTCTTCCCACCCTTACAGTCAGACCAGGGCTGCTCCAGGCATCTTGTCCAGGGGCACAATGGGCAGGGGCACCAAGAATGGACAGGCCCTGGGTCCCATCCCAAAGAGCTGAGGGTGGCGTCCTGCGTGCCTGCAGCTGGGGGGCAGGGGGTTCTGGGGTCCCAAGGACAAGAGCACCAAGCATTGCATGGTGTGTTATGGACCGGCCGCTGGGCCTAGGCCTGGCATGCGTGGCAGGGCAGCGTCTCTGGTCTGCTCTTTGTTGCCCCCGGAAGGCCCCGAGCCCCTGTGGGCCCCAGACAAGCAGGGGCAGCGCTGGAGGAGGGCCGGAGGCCAGCCATAGTGAGAACCAGGCGGGCCCTGGAAGGGGCCCTGTGTGCCCCAGACAAAGCAGGCAAGGTCCCGGAGGGGCCGGGGGGATGTCCTCTGTGGGTCCCCAGCCCCCACCCCAGGTTGGGATCCCAGCAGGCGGGGACCCGCAGCATCACACATGTGGTGGGCGCCTCAGAGAAGCCACAGCGAGAGACAAGAAGTTGGGATCTCTTTATTTCAGAAATAAACAAGGGGACGTTCATGTCGAGGGGTGGGAACAGGGAACCCTTTGGCCCGAGACTCCAGCCCAAGATCCCTCTAGCCTTTGCCCAGTGCCGCCTCCCACCCAGGCTTGTCTTGTCCACTCCGGAATCTCTTGTGGCATGGATGGTGGCGCTTACCTCCACGCCTGCCTTCCTGTGGGGAGCCGGCGGGGGCCCTCCCGACGCCGCTCGCCCGAGCCCAGCCTAACCAATGTGCAGACTACTGTACACCTGCAGAGCTTCCTGAACAGGTAGTCTGAACACTGGGGCGGCGGGGCCGGTGTCTGTCCCTGGGCCCCCGGCCGCCCACCAGCGCGCACTCCGAAGTCCTCCGCTCTGACGTGGCCAGGCTGCAGCAGCCTCACGGCTGGAGAAGACTGAGGGGAGGGAGCAGGGAGGCCGGCAGGAGGAGGCTTGGGTCTCTGGCCTCTGTGTGCAGGGGGAGGGCCGCGTGCACACCATGTCTGCATGTGCCCAGTACGCATGTGCGTGTGTGCGTGCCGGCAGCTGCAAGAAAGCAGCTGCCGCGTCCAGGAGGAATCACATTATAAACACTTCCAGATGTGGATGGCCCATGACTCAGTTACTTGGCCCCATCGGCAGCTGACCCGCGGCTTCCTGCCTCATGACACACGTGGGTGGGGACCTGGAGGCCCTTCCGGAAACTTCTGGGCAGGGCACAGACAGACCCAGCTTGGACCCCACATTCGCTCCCCAGCCCTGCCTGCCACCACCGCGACAGTCTTTCCTTTCCCCGCCCTCCCCAGGGCACCCAGTCTGCAGTCTGGGGTGGGCTGCATACCTCTGCCCTATGTCCTTGCTGCCCAGGACATGGCTGGGTGACCCTGGGGCTTCACTGGCATATATGGGGGCACTGAGCTTAGTGCTTTGCCACTTTGCCAGCCATGCACTTGTGTGCCAGCCTGTGCTTCTATTCTGCCTCCCTTCCCCCATTTTTTTTTGTTTTTTTAACATGGTACTGGGGATTGAACCCAGGGCCTTCACACAGGGCTACATCTCCAGGTGTTTTTTTTATTTTTAGTTTGAGACAGTGTCTTACTAAGTTGCTACATTGCCCGGGTTGGGCTCAAACTTAGTAACCTTCCTGCCTCAGCCTCACAGAGTGCTGGGATGACAGGTGTGTACTGGCCCCCTTGCTGAGGGGCCCCTCGACGTCCCCCCCCCATCGCAGTGGCTGCTCTTCTGTCAGAGGTGGCGGCCAGGCGAGGCTTCATTCTGAGGCCTTCAGCAGTACAGAGACAGCCACCTGAGAAGCCTCCAGAGACCACAGCCTGGCTGTGGCGGTTCCGTGCTGCATCACATCACGCTGTGTGTCCCTGGCAACTGGTTGCTGTCTCTGAGCAGTGTTGTCTTCAGCAGGTTGAAGGGGAAATTTCTACAAGCAGCTGCTGTGGGTCACCTGGGTGTGTCAGCTGGGGACTCTGGCTCTGCAGCCTGGTTTCCCAGTGTAGAAAACCAGCTCTTGGGCAGGGGTGTGGCTCGAGCAGAGTGATTGCCTGGCATACATGGGCCCATGGATTTTATCCCCAGCACTGTAAAAACAAACTACAACCCTTAAAAATGTGCATTTTCAAGCCGGGGATTTACCTCAGTGGTCCCACCGCCTGCCTCGAAAGCACAAGGTCCAGAGTTTGATCCTGGTACAAAAAAATTTTTAACAAAGTGCATTTTCCAGGCATGAGGAGACAGGCCTTAATTCCTGCTGCTAGGGAGGCTAAGTCAGGAGGATCAAAAGTTAGATCCAGGGCAATTTAGCAAGACCCTGTTTCACAAAATTAAGAGCAAGAAACCAAGTACAGTGGCACAGGCCTGTCATCTCACCACTCAGGAGACTGACTGAGGCAGCAGGATTGCTGCAAGTTCAAGGCCAGCCTGTAGGAAGACCTAAGTAGGAAGACCCTGTCTCAAAAAACCAAAAAAAAAGACAACAATAAAAAAAATTTTGTTTTAATACAAGAAAAAAGAAAACCTTCGTGCCATACCCACATACATATATTGGGGACCAGGCATAATGCTCCAGAAGGGGGCCAGCCCCCTTGGTGGCCACAGTAGCTGAGCCAGTGGTGACAGGGCCTGAGCCACCCCCGCTCTGTGACTGCAGGCCCAGGTCTCTGCCCCCTGGTCTCTCTGTGCCTCAGTCTGTAAGGGGCGGAGCAAAGCTGACTGATCCCAGCATCCACAGTGAGTAAAACGGATGGGTGCCCCTGTCCTCCAGGAAGTGCTGCCAAGTGAGCCCAGGGGACAGGTAGAGCCAGACCCCTAGATTGGGGGTTGGGCTCACCCCAGGACCCCCTCTGCACAATGTCCTGATACAGACAGGGAGCTGGCCATGTGGTGTTGGGCAGGGCACCCTGGGCAGAAGCCCTGGGCATGCAGAGGTCCTGGGTATGCAGAGGTCCTGGGTAGGAGCCACCTGGAATGTTGAGGCAGCAAGGGGGAAGCAGTGGCAGATAAACTAACTATGCAAAGACCCCGGTACCAGAAGCACCAGGGATTGGCAAGGCCCTCCCTGAGGCACCCTGCCGCACAGTGCTGCGTGTTGCTGGCCAGAAAGCCCCAGGTGACCATGTCCCTTTGGCCCACAGGAGAAAGAGAAGAAGTACATGCTGCCCCTGGACAACCTCAAGATCCGGGACGTCGAGAAGGGCTTCATGTCCAACAAGCATGTGTTCGCTATCTTCAATACAGAGCAGAGGTGGGGGCCCATTGCTTGTGGTCCTCCCTCATTTGCAGCTCTCAATAGCTTGCACTGAGCACTCACTATTGGGGGTCTCTGCCCTAGGGTTTCATGTTCTAGAAAGGGAATTGAAGCCAGGCACAGTAGCACATGCCTGTCATCCCAGTCCTCTGGCAGGCTGAGGCAGGAGGATCACCAGTTCCACCTAGCCTGGGCAGTTCAGTGGCTCAGTGAGACCCTGTCTCAAAACAAAAAAGGTTAGGGATAGATCTCAGTGTGAAGCTCCAGGGTTCAGTCTCCAGTCCTGGCAGAAGAAAAACAAAAAAAAGTTGGTGAGAAACATTAAAACGCAGTGGGCAAGGGGGGTGCGGAGGTCTGAGTGAGGTGAAGCCATGGAGGGTTCCCATTGGAGAGGCTCCCTGCTCGGGCAGTCACGTGCGCCCTCTGGTGGCTGAGGAGGGAACAGACTGGCCCAAGCAGGGCACCAGGGAGGGGGCTGCTCTAGATGGAAGTGGGGCCAAGGACACTGGGGGAGGGTCCCCATGCAGAGTCCAGGAATGAGCCCAGGGAGGGATCCTACAGGCCTGGGGCGTGGGGGCAGCTCTGGTCCAGTGCTTGCTGAGCATGCACCAGGCCCCCTTGTTTGATCCACAGCACAAGGAGGGAAGAAAGAAGGGACCCAAAGTCTTCTTATGGTTTCTAAGCCTGGAACCCTGCTGAGGAAGCTGTCCCACCTCCCTGAGTCCTGTGCTTCCCTACGCAGGAGGCTGATGAAATTGCCAATGTATCTCAGAAGTGGAATCAGGAGGGCCAGGGATTTAGCTCAGTGGTTTCGCTGCCTGTTGTGCACGCGCAAGGACCCGAGTTTGATCCCCGGTACCCCCCCCCCCCAAAAAAGAAGTGAGATCAGGAAACCCAGAAAAATAGTAGAGGGAACAAGTAAAACATTTTCTTGTTTTGTTACATAAATCAAGTCTAAACTTTCCCATCAAGGCAAGGGGGCAGCTTCCCCAGCCCCCTCTCTTGTTCCTCAGCCTTCCTCAACACATGGGTTCTGCCTCTTGGTCCAAGAGAGCTGCCCAAACTCCAGCCATCTTGATGACTTCTCAGGCAGCAAAAAAAAAAGAGGAGAAAGAGCAACCCGGGTCTCATTTGGAGACTTTGAGGGCAACTTGACTGGCTTGGCCCCACCGGGGTGTAGGACAGGCTAGTGAGCAAGGCATGTGCCACGGACCCTGCCTACAGAACACTGTCCCCAAACACTGGGTCTATCCTATCTTGCTTCCAGCCTTGGCCCACTTCATCTTAGTGCTATCCTCTGACCAACATGAGCCTGACACTTCCCAAGTCACCTCTAGGAATCAGGCCACCATCTAGAACCCTGATTTGCAGTGGAGTAGTCACTGGCTACATGCAGCTATTTTCATGTGAATTAATTAAAATAAAATAAAATTTAAAATTCACTTTCTTAGCTGGGTCCAGTGGCGCACGCCTGTCATCCCAGCACTCTGGGAAGCTGAGGGAGGAGGGTTGCAAGTTTGAGCCCAACCTGGGCAACCTAGCAAGACGCTGTCTCAAAATTTAAATAAATAGGGCTAGGGATGTAACAGTGCAAAAGCCCTGGGTTTAATCCCCAGTGCTGGAAAATAAAAAGACATTTTACCAAAGCTTCCTGTGGCTGCCACATAGGACTGTGCAGATGACAGAAATTTCGGCTGGCAGGAAGTTCTAGTGGTCGTTGCCTCTCTAAGCTCCCTGCAGACCCCTCGCTGGGAGCCCCCCTCCAGAGCAGGGGTCATGAGACATGCATCTGGGGTTCCCAGGAGAACCTGAAGAGGATGGGACAGGAATTTTCCAGGGAAGGAGTCACCAGAGCCAAAGAAAACAGCCATGGGTGCTCCTACAACAGACCTTGCCCTGACCTTCACCACATGTGGTTTGTTTTGTTTTGTTTTTTGCAGTACTGGGGATTGAACTCAGGATCTTGCACTTGCAGGGCAGCCACGGTGCCAGTGAACTAACCCTCTGGCCCTGTTTTGGTTTTTTGAGACAGGGTCTCAGCCTTTGTACCCCAGGCTAGCGTCAAACTCGTGGCCATCCTCCTGCCTTAGCCTCCCAAGTGCTGGGATTACAGGCATGTGCCACCGCACCTGGCTTGCATTACTAATTTATGGGCAGTAGGTGCTGCATCTCAGCGACCGCTTAGCATAACGGGCCGTGTGGGCGCCATCCTGGAACCTGGGTTAGTGTCGAGTCCCTGGTCATGCAATGAGAGCCCTGGGTGGTCAGCCAGGCCTCTGATCGGGCCGCAGAGCAGCCCCTCCCTCCCGCCCCAGGAACGTCTACAAGGACCTGCGGCAGATCGAGCTGGCCTGTGACTCCCAGGAGGACGTGGACAGCTGGAAAGCGTCATTCCTGCGCGCCGGCGTCTACCCTGAGAAGGACCAGGTGCGGAGCCGCCCTGCTGGGTGCAGTGCCCTGCAGCCCACACTGTCCCCATCTAGGCCAGGAAGGACAGGGTCAGCGCTGGGGACGCTTTGCCAGGGTCGACTCTGCATGCAGAGCAGACAGGTGGTTGTCATCAGAGTCCAGAAAGTCCCCTGGCAGGGGCCACACAGGGACGTGTGTGGATGGGGTCCCGGCTGAGGGGATATGAGGGCTCTTCGCCCCCATGGGACAGGATCCCCCCAGCTGCATCCTGGGTCACCCAAGTCTGGGAGGCTCTGGCCAGGGCAGAGGAAGCTGTTGACAGAGACAGACACTCACCACCGTCACTGCGGGCCGTGTCCCCCTCATCCTTTCCACTCTATACTGCAGGCGGAGAACGAGGACGTGGGGCAGGACACCTTCTCCATGGACCCACAGCTGGAGCGGCAGGTGGAGACCATCCGCAACCTGGTGGACTCATACGTGGCCATCATTAACAAGTCCATCCGCGACCTCATGCCAAAGACCATCATGCACCTCATGATCAACAACGTGAGTGTCCACTTCAGCCCAGATGGCCCCAGGGCCCGGGAGGCAGTCAGAGGCTCTCGTCCCCTTGCGTCGGGTAACTGGAATCAACACCACAGGTGGACTTCCTCTAAGTTTTTATTCCTGCCTCAGAAAACCCTAGGAGAGCTGGGCATGGGGGTGCACACCTCTTATCCCGGCACTCTGGGAGGCTGAGACAGGAAGATGGCAAATGTCAGCCCAGCCTGGTCAACTTAGTGACTTAGCCCGACCCTGTCTCAAAATAAAAAATACAAAAAGGGAGATGGAGCTCCATGGTGGAGCATCCCAGATTCAAGTTAGTCCCCAGTACCAGAAGTAATATACAAGCAGAAAAGCGGGTTAGAGGACGGCATAGGAGAAAGATGGCCAAAGGAAGGGAAGATACTAGGAATGCGCTTTCTTAGACACTTGTGGGTCTGGGGCCTGGCTGGGGCCAGCATCCTGCCCCACCCAGCACCGCACACCACGCATCCTGTGAGAAGGCAGGAGTGTTTGGTGGCAGCTCAGGGGGACCCAGGAGGTGACTGAGTGTGCTCAAGACCTGCACTCCATCTGGCGGAGACAGAGTTCCCCGAGCCAGCCTCACCATGGTCGGGGGCAGCAGGCCCTGAGGTGCTGGCTGACCTGCCGCCCATGTCCCCAGACCAAGGCCTTCATCCACCATGAGCTGCTGGCCTACCTGTACTCGTCGGCTGACCAGAGCAGCCTCATGGAGGAGTCGGCTGACCAGGCACAGCGGCGGGATGACATGCTGCGCATGTATCACGCGCTCAAGGAGGCGCTCACCATCATCGGTGACATCAGCACCAGCACTGTGTCCACGCCCGTGCCCCCGCCTGTCGACGACACCTGGCTACAGACCACTGCCAGCCACAGGTGTGGGAGGCTCCCCCAGGGGCCCTGGTGAAGGTGCTGCTCCCAGGGAGCCCAGGGGACAGATGGGCTCTGGGTGCCAGTCAAAGGCAGTGCCAGCTACATGGCTCATCTTCCTGGGCACAGAAGGGCAGGTGGGGAGGCAGTGGCCCCTGACCAGCCACACCTATTGAGCTGTCCCTACTGGCATGGTGACAGGGAGTCCCAGGCTGGACTCCTAACAGTGACAGGCAGGTGGCAGCTGGGCCAGAGGGTTGGCTGGGGAATCTTGGGGTGGTGGTCCTGCTGCAGCCCCAGGATGCCCTGGAGTCCGTTAGGCAGGGGTGAGCTGGGTTCTGGAAGGGTCTGGAGCCCTGGCCCAGCAGGAGGCCCCGGTGCGCTTGTTAGGGGAGTGTCAGCCAGGGAAACCGGAAGGGGGAGGGCTCGGGTTGGAGCTGGGGAACCGCGCTTACAGCCCCCCCTCCTGCCTCCACAGCCCCACCCCACAGCGTCGACCTCTGTCCAGTGTGCACCCGCCTGGCCGGCCACCAGCAGTGCGGGGCCCCACTCCTGGGCCCCCCCTGATTCCCATGCCCGTGGGGGCTGCAGCCTCCTTCTCGGCGCCCCCCATCCCGTCCCGGCCTGGACCCCAAGTGTTTGCCAACAATGACCCCTTCTCAGCCCCGCCGCAGATCCCATCTCGGCCAGTGCGGGTACCTCCTGGCATCCCCCCAGGAGTCCCCAGGTAAGGTCACACCCAACTCCTGCACCCTGGGTTGGCTTCTCCAGCCCGCCCTCCCCTCCCAGCATGCTCCCACGGAGCAGGCAGCAAGGAGGCATGCTCACCCCTTTAGCCGCTGGGGAAAGTGACTCCAGAAGGCCCCAGGTTGTCCCCTGGGCTGTGTACCGCTTGGGACCCTGGCGCTGGAGCCCCTCACCAGCACGTTCTGTCTGCTTGCCATGGACGCGAGGACTCCCTGCCCGCCTGAGGCCCAGAGAGGGACAGGGACTTGCTGGGTCGCACAGGGCACGGTTTCAGGGACACAGGCAGTCGCATGGCTCAGCAGCCTCCCTCCGGGTGCCCAGCCACACCCAGGAGCACCCTGAGGTGGGGGCCTCACGCAGCCTTTCCTTCTGGCCTCACTGCGCTTCCCTCGCCTTTTATTCTCTTTGCAGCAGAAGACCCCCTGCCGCGCCCAGCCGGCCCACCATTATCCGGCCCACCGAGCCCTCGCTGCTCGACTAGGCTGCTCGCTCTCGGGGAGGGGCAGGCTCTCAGGGCCCTCGTTCACCCGGGTGCAGGAGCTCCAGAAGCCTGGGTCCCCCTTGTCGCCCCAGCCCTCGTGCAGGGACTGGGCTCCCGGGGCAGCCCTGCCCCTCCCCAGCCCCACTGGACACCACACTGTGCGAAGGGCCAAAGGCCCGGGCAGGGGTGCTGGGGCATTGCACTTTGAGGGTGGGGTCTCGGGGTGCCAGCTGCACTCTGGGTGCCATCTTGAAGCAGGGGTCCAGGCCAGCTTGGGGTTTCTCCGGCTGGGGCAACTCACATAGAACGGGCCATCTGGAAGGTGGGGAGCCAGGGCATCTGTGTCCCCAGGCCTTATTGAGGCTCTCATGGGGTCCTCCACCCGGCCCACATTGTACATATTCCTTCCTCGGCCACATTAACCACACAGCCAGAGTCTGGCCTGCCTCGGCCACCAGAGGTGCCTTTGCCGAGCCTGGAGTCTCCGCCAGGCCAGCCTCACTCCCTCCTCTGCCCACCTCCTGGGCCCCCCCGTTAAGAGTTGAGGGTTTTGGGGGGGCCTGGGTGCCCCTCTCTGAGCAGACCTCTCGCTCACTCCCAGCTCGGTTTGACCACTGTAAGTGCCTGCGCTCTGTACCCTATTAATAAACTAAATAAAGGGAAGAACCTTCTGTGGCTGCTGTACGGCCCTGTGTCCATGTCCACACTGAAGCTCCCACTGGGGCCCCTCACCCCACTCACAGGGGCTCTGCTTGGGGATGGTCCTGGCTTCCAGGGACACCACCCCCCACCACGCACACAGCTCCAAGCGACAGCACTGATCTGGAGCAGGATCCCACCCGCTCCCCCAGACCATGCTGCGGCCAGGTCCATGTCCCTTCTCTCTCCTGCCCTGTTGGAGGTCCTAGGCCTTGTGGCCCAGCCAGGGACACAGTTGAAACTTTGCTTTCTGATTTTTCTCTTGTGCCAGGCGACCACCTCCATCGGCTCCTGCCCGACCTTTCTTCTGAACTTCGTGAAGACCCCTCCCTCCCACCCTCCTGGCTGTCCCCGTCATGGGGACAGGTCTGTCCTGGCTGGTGTCCCTAAGCCCCAATCACCAGGCTCTGGGGGTTTCTGACCATAATTTATTGACCCCAGGACCCAGGACCAACTGGCCTTTTGTTCGTTGAGGCTCTGCCTGAAGGCTGTGGCCAGGCCACCCCTTGGCCCTGTTGGGGCCCCTGTAGGAAGGGAGGATGGGCAGTCCTGCAGGTACCTCCTGCAGTTGTCACCAGACCTCCTGCCCAGCCAGCCCCGCAAGAGGCCAGGACCCCTTCCCATCAAATAAAGTTCCCCTCCTGGCAAGAACGCTGCAGCTGTCACCTCGGCGCAGGAGAGAAACAGGGACAGGGCGCGTCAAGCAGCAGGCGCCCCTCCTGCTACACCTGGCATCGAGAGCCCAGGTGGGGAAGGGAGGGAATGAGTCACTTCCTGGCCCGCTCTGCGGCCAGGTGTGGTGGCATGCACTTGTCATCCCAGCACTCTGGGGGGTGAGGCAGGAGGATCACAAGTTCAAACCCAGTCTGGGCAACTTAGCAAGACCCTGTTTCAAGAAACAGAAAATGGCTAAGGATGTAGCTCAGTGCAAAGACCCTGGGTTCAGTCCCCGGAAGTGGAAAAAGAACAGCTTAGGCACATGTACATGGGGTGCCAGGAAACAAGGGCTGCACTCCAGCACTGCAGCAGCACCATGCACAATTTCCACCCCTCGTGGTAGGCCCAGGCCTGCAAACCAGGGGCGCTCTCTGCTCAGCCCAGAGAGGGTACAGCAGCCTTCCCTCCCCAAGGAAAGGAAGTTAGGGAGGGTCTACCCCCCCCCCCAGTCCTGAAGGCCTGCCGCCCTCCCTTTTCAGTTCATCCTTCCAGGCAGGGCTACGTGGGCATGGGGTGCTTGTCCTGGAAGAAGCGCTTGAGTGTGCAGACCTGCAGCACGGCCACCAGCAGCAGCACGGCCACGTTGACAGCGGACCAAAAGTTGACCCGCTCCAGGTTGCCCTCCTGCAGGTTGCGGTCACGTGCCTCCAGGGCTCGCAGCAGTGTGAGCACCTGGATGCTGCGCTCCAGCCGGGTCCTCATGGTCTCAATGGATTCCTGCAGGTGGAAGGAGGGGCGGGGAGAGCTGAGAACACAGAAACTCAATCCTCACTGCTGCCCACTGGCAGTGTGACCTCGAGCAAGTTAATGAACCTCTCTGGGCCTCAGTTTGCTCTTCTGTGAGCCTCAGCACAACTGTAAAAATGAAATGCTAGGGCTGCAGGGTAGCTCAGTGGTAGAGGAGGTGCCGGGCACATGCGAGGCTCTGGGTTCAGTCCCCAGGACCCCCAACAGAAAGGCTAAATGATCAGAACAGATTTACTACTGGATAATAGAATAGCTGCTGAGACCACACTACATAGGTTGCAATACCAGCTCTGCCAGTTGCTAGCTGTGTGGCCTTGGGTGAGTTACTTTGCAATCCTGTGCCTCAGTTTCTCCACCTGTAAAAGGAAAACACTTGGAGCACAGGACCAACTGCAGGAGTAGTAATGGAGGTTGGTGATCCATGAGTTATGATATAAGGCAGATAAGAGTTGGCAGGGTGTGGTGAGCACAGCTGTCATCCCAGCACGCTGGGAGGCTGAGGCAGTTGGATTCCAAGTTCAAGCCCAGCCTGGGCAACTTAGCAACATAGTGAGACCCTGTCTCAAAAACAACAGGGTTGGGCTGGGGATTTAGCTCAGTGGTTTAGCCGCGCAAGGACCCGAGTTCGATTCCTGGTACCAAAAAACCAACAACAGGGTTTAGACCTAGAAATGAACTTAACTGAGGCACTATATAAAGTTGAGGACACCGCTATATGGAAGGGCTGGATAGGGCCAAGGTGGAGATCCCAGTCAAAGAGGAAGAGTCTCAGTACCCTGTTGCCAGTGCTTTGATCCAGGAGAGTGGCCCAGCCCAGCCCAGCGCACCTTGATGTCCTCCATTTTGACATCCAGCATCTCCTCAGGTTCCACAGCCTCTGCCCAGCCCTCCACCTCCTCATCATCTTGGAGGCTGTCAAAGATGAGCTCGAAGAACACCAGCTTCTCGGAGATGGTGCTGAAGGAGTTGTCAAAGCACAGCCTGTAGTCGCCGGCCTCTGTAGGCTCCACCCTGTTCAGAGACCCAGACATACAGACTTGACCCTGGCGACCAGCACATCTCTGGGGTAGCTTGGGCAGTAACCCGAGGCCACCAGGGAGGGGCAGGGCTGTAACCGAACCGGGGCAGGCTGCTAGACTGAACTCACGTGTGCACCCCATCCGCCTTGCGGGCCTCACTGACCAACAGCACACCCTGAGGGCTCTCCAGTGTGAAATCCACGTCCAGCCCGGCACCTCCTATCACCTGGGGACAGGTAAGAATGGGTGCAGAGGGCCGGGGATTTAGCTCGGTGGTACGGCTGCCTCGTAAGTTCAAGGACCCGAGTTCGATCCCCGGTACAAAAGAAAAAGAAAAAGAAAAGAATGGGTGGAGAGACACAGCTGAGCCAGGGTGCCTGCCCGAGGAGTCCCAGGCTGAACCAAATGGCACAGACCCACATAGCCTGTGGAGGGCCATTCTGAGCACTGATACCTAGACATATCACTGGGTCGCGCTCCCAGCTGTGCCCCACTGGCCGGGACCCTCGCCCTGCCTTGGCCCTCATGGATAGGGCTGGATCTTTCATTGGCCACGCCTCCTTCGAAGTCCTTGGACGGGCGTTTACCTGGTCACTCTCCTTTACTTGACACCGCCCCAAAAGGGACTCCAGGGCGGTGCTTTTCCTTTAACCCAACCTCTGAGAACTCCTGCGGGCCACGACCCCCTTTTAACCTACGATTCTGCCCACACCCAACAAGAGAGTTCCGCTCTCTGGCTCCTTTTACTTCCAATGACCCCGCCCCCTCATGCTGTGCCACTCCAGCCCCGCCTTTACTATGCCCAGCCCTTCCGCGCCCACTAGTCCTGCCCTGTCCATCTGGCCCCTAGCCCCGCCCCCACGCTCACGCAATGGCTCCTCCCACGTCGCCGCTTTACTGCACGCCTCGCTCCCTCCCCCTTGGCCCTCGCTAGCTCAGCGGCCCAGGACCCTCTACCTGGTACTCGGCCTCGAGGCTTGCGTTGGCAGGCGCGGACTGGTAGAAACATTGCTTCCTCCCCGCGGGCAACAGAAACGTGAACTCGCCGTCCTGGATCGGAGGGGGCCCTCCCCCTCCTACCTCTGCTGGCGGCAACAGTACCCATAGGGCCAGGGCTAGGGCCATGCGGGCCGCCATCGTCCGGGTCACTCTATGGTCTGCTAACAAGCTGCGGCTCCTTTAAGGACTAGTCCTGCCCCCCTCAGCTATTTTACGAAGCTCATTGGCTGGCGCTGCAGTACGTTGTCTGAAAGCGGTGGAGCGAAGAGTGAAGGAATCCCTGAGAGGCAAGCTGCCCGAGTTGGTGCCTACAGCGCCTAAAGCGCTCTGCGTACTTTTTCCTGAAGTGCCTCCAGCTCTAACCTCAGTCTTTGGTGGTGCTAGTAAATATCAAAAATAAGTGCCATAGGCTGGGGATTTAGCTCAGTGTTTCCGGCGCCTGGCTCGCAAGCTCAAGGTCCCGAGTTCGATCCCCGGTACCAAAAAAAAAAAAAAAAGTGCCATAAAGGCGCATCTTGTTCAGGCAAAAGTTAAGACAACTACGGTGGAAGTGTCTGGGTCCTTCTAAGGGGCTTCCATGCGGTTTTCCCAGAGTACACGGCGCGCAACAGCACTTTGGGGAACATTTTGGGTGGAGCCGGCCAGCAGTGAGGCTGGGCGTGGCCCTGCACAAGACCCTAGGGCTCGAGTATAAAAAGGCTCAGCTGGGCGGGGTGGAGACACCTAATACTGAGGCTCAGGTTTTCCCTGTGGTTGTTGGTTGGGACTCCCCTTCTAGAACTCGAAGCCCGTCCTGTCATTCTTTTTGCGCCTTAGAACATCACTCTTAGTAGTTTTGACGTCTGTAAGTTGGAAGCAGTGGAACACCCACCCTATATAGGGAGTTTGTGAGAATTGGGTGAGATGAGATTTGTCCTATAGTAAGTACTTGGCTACCCTGGTGTAGAGTTGAGAGGAGAGCCGGCTGTGGTGGCACACGCCTGTATTCCCAGTACTCAGGAGGCTGAGGCAGGAGGATCGCCATGAATTTGAGGCCAGTCTGGGCTACATAGTGAGTTCAGGGCCAGCCTTAACTACAAAGGGAGACCCTGCCTCAAAAAACAAAATAAAAAGAACGGGGATTTAGCTCAGTGGTTCCACCGCCTGCCTTGCAAGTGCAAGGTCCCGAGTTCGATCTCCAGTACCAAAAAAAAAAAAAAGAAGAAGAAAGAAAAAGAATTAAAGGAATGTGGAACCATCCCCCTGCTGAGTTTCAGTTTCCTCATCCACAAAATGGAACTAATACTCCTAGTCCATTGCCAGGTAAGGTGGCACTGCCTGTAACCCATCCTACCTCTAGGGAGGCTGAGGCAGAAGGGTTGTTGTGAGCTCAAGGCCTGGACTACATAGGGAGATCCTGTCTCAAAAACAGTACTCCTAGTCCAACGTGCTGTTGTGAGGACTGGGATAATGCTTGAATGATTATTGCGTATCACAGTATTTCATATATCATAGGCCAGTAAATGATAATCTCTTACTTGGTACTTGGCTTATTGCCTGTTGTTGAGCAGCCTGTCACTTAGCGTCTGCCTCAGTCTGGCTCCAAGGATCAGGAGGCCGTCTCCCTCTGGGAAGCAGACAGATAAACAAAGAAGTAATTAGTTAAATGGATTCTGGTCCCGTCTATACATAAGAAAAAATATTTAGATGGAAAACTCTAGGCTTCAAAGATAGACCGAAAGGTTGGCAGCTGGTGACAATTACTCTTCAATCGCAGCCGGTGGCTGTCAGTTCTTCCCTGCATCTGCAGAACTTGGGGAAGTAACACCACTTTGTAACGTTAAAGTTTATACATAGACTGAATGTTCCTTTTTGCCCCGTTTTTCTTTCACTTACATACACTGCTTGGCTCTTTTGTAGTAGTAGCAGAGAATAGGTTATTTCTTTTTGTTTTTAATGGATGTTTTAAAATGTGGTACAGTTCCCACTACTTAAGGTTAACTACTTTAATGAGACCTATTCCATGGCCTTTAGTAGATTGACAGTGTTGTATGGCCTCCACTTTGAGGTAGCTCCTAAGCATTTTCACCAGTCCCCAAAGAATCCCTGTGCCTTCTAAGCAAGTGGTTCTCAATTGTCCATAACCTTAGCTCCTGGTAATCACCAGTTTGCTTTCTGCTCCTATGGATCTAATCACTGTAGATACAGTATTTCCTAGAAATTGAATCAGACAATCTGTGACCATTTATGTGGACTCTTTCAATTAGCATGTTTCCCAATTTCAGCCCTCTGCAGTATCAGTATTTAATTGGTTGAGCAGTATTCCATTGCATACATATACCACAATTTTTTAAACTATATATACTTTGGGGTTTTTTGTTTGTTTTGCTTTTGTTTTTCTTCTTCTTTTTTTTTTCATTACCAGGGATCAAACTCAGGACCTTATGCTTGCCAGGCAGGCATAACATCACTGAGCTACATCCCCAGCCATGTTTTGCTTTGGTTTTTGTTTTGTTTTTGAGACAGGATCTCACTATATAGCCCAGGCTGGCCTTGAACTCACAATTATCCTCCTGCCTCAGCCTCCCAAGTCCTGGGATGACGGGCTTAAAGTAGATTTTTATTAATGCCTTTTTAAAAGGACAGGGTCTCAGGCTGGGATTTAGCTCAGTGGCGCCGTGCCTGCCTCGAAAGGGCAAGGTCCTGAGTTCGATCACTGGTACAAAAAATAAATAAATAAATAAACGCCACTTGGTGGTCCTTTAAAAAGACAGGGTCTCCCTATTATTTTATACTTGCCAGTGCCTTTTTTTTTGGTACCAGGAATCGAACTTGGGTCCTTGCACTTGCAAGGCAGGCAGCAGAACCACTGAGCTAAATCCCCAGCCCACTAGTGCCTTTTAATTTTATAAAATAGTAGGTTTCAGTGTGGTATTTTCGCACTTACATATAACTGAATTTGCTCATACCTGTTCTCCCATTACACTCCCACAAGCTCCCCCTTGTTCCCTGACTTTGATGAGTCTCCCTTTCCTCTTACCTTTGTTATATACCACATATTAGGGAAAACATGTGATACTTACCTTTCCTAAATCTGGCTTATTTCTCTTAACATAATGGTCTCCGGTTCCATCTATTTTTGTACAAATGAAATAACTATTCTTCTTTATCGTTGAACAATACTGCATTGTAGACCACATTTTTTTTTTTTTGGTACCAGGGATCAAACTTGGGAACCTGCGCTTGCGAGGCAGGCACCAGAACCACTGAGCTAAATCCCCGGCCCAAGATATAACGACCACATTTTTTTTAATCCCATCATCCATGGACGGACACCTAGGCTGACTCCATATCTTGGCTACTGTGAATTTTCCTGCAGTAAACATGGGCACACATGCATCCCCTCTAGTATGCTGACTTTAATTTCTTCAGGTATGCTGGGCATGGTGCCACACACCTCTAATACCAGCACTTGGGAGGCTGAGGCAGGAGGATTTCTGCAAGTATGAGGTCAGCCTAGGCTACACAATGAGGCCCTGTCTCAAAAAAAAAAAAAAAATTACTGGCCTGGGGATTTAGCTCAATGGCACTGCTCCTGCCTCACAAGTGCAAGGTCCTCAGTTCGATCCCTGGTACCAAAAAAAAAAATTTCCTTCAGGTATGTACCAAGAAGTGGGTCATAGGGTCGTTCTATTTTTAGTTTTTTGAGGAAGCTTTGTTCTGATTTTTTAGATCATTTTTTTGAGGGGGTACTGGGAATTGAACTCAGGATCTTGTGCCTGCAAGGCAGGTGCAGTGTCACTGAGCTAAATCCCCAGCCCCTCATTCTGATTTTTATGGTGACTGTATTAATTTATATTTCCACCAATCACATATAAGAATTCCTTTTCCCCCACATCCTCACCAGCATTTGTTGTTTTCCGTACTTGATGACAACCATTCAGACTGGGGTGAGATGGAGTCTTAATCCAGCTTTGCTTTGCATTTCTCCAATGGCTAAAGATGTGGAACAGTTTTTTTTTTATATACTTAGAGGCTATTTGTACTTCCCTCTTTTGAGTAGTGTCTGTACAATTCATTGGCCCATTTAGAGATTGAGCTATTTGGTTTTTTGGTATTAAATGGTTTGTTTTCTGTTTGTTTAGTTTTTTTGCAGTACTGAGGATTAAACCTAGGGCCTTCATGGGCAGACTTTTATCATCATCATCATCATCATCATCATCATCATCATCATCATCATCATCATCTTTTAAAATTTGTTTTTAGGATTTTTTGAGACAGGATCTCACTATGTAATTTAGGCTGGCTTTGAACTCACTGTGTAGCTCTTGCTGACCTTGAACTCAAAGAGATCCTCCTGCCTCAGCCTTGCAAGTGCTGACATAACAGGTATGAGCCACCACACTCAGCCATTATTATTATTATTACTTATTTCTTTTGAGACAAGATCTAAATCACTAAATTGGCTCATCTAGGCTCAAACTTTCAATCTGCCTGCCTCAGCCTCTCAGAGTGGGATTTCAGCCATGTGCTACCACCCCAGGCTGGTGTTAAGTTCTTTGGGTTCTTTACATATTCCAGATGGTAACCCTCTGTCAGAAGAGTAGGTGGCAGAGGTTTTCTCCCATTCAGGCAACTGTTTCTTCACTCTGTTGGTTATTTCCTTTGCTGCACAGAAACTTTAATTTGATGTGGTCTCAGTTGTTGTGTCTTACTATTATTTCCTGTGCTATTCAAGTCCTTCCTATTCAGGAAGTCTTTGCCTATGCCAGTGGCTTCAAGTGTTTCCTGTATGTTTTCTTCCAGCCATTTCAAAGCTTCAGGTCTTTGATCTATTCTGAATTCCATTTGTTATCAGATGAGAGAGAGGCACCAGTTTGGTTCCTCTACAGATGGGTTCGCGTCTTCCCAGCACCATTGGTGAAGTGGCTCTTTTCTCCAACATCCATATTTGGCTACATTGTTCAGAATCAGATGGCTACAGTAGTGTGAGTTTCTTTCTGCATCCGCTACTCTGTGCCATGGGTCTATACATCTTATTCCTTTGCTCATACCATGCCATTTTTGTTACTCTGGGTTTGTAGTATAATTGGAAATCAGGTATTGTGGTGCCTTCTTTTTTATTTTTGTTTAGGATTGCTTTGGCTGTTCTGGGACTTTTGTGTTTCTGAATGAATTTTAGATTGTTTTTTCTAGTTTTCTCTTTTCCTTTTTTTTTTTTTTTCTTTTAAGACAAGGTCTTGCCATAGCTATATAGTTCAGGCTGGCCTTGAACTCACTGTGTAGCCCACAGTGGATCACAAACTTGAGCCCAACCCGGACAACTAAGTGAGACTATGTCTCAAAAATAAAAATAAAGGGCCAAGGATTTAGCTCAGTGGTTCCGCCACCTGCCTCGCAAGCGCAAGGACCCAAGTTCGATCCGCGGTACCAAAAAAAATTAATAATAAAATAAAAATGGGCTGGGGATTTAGCTCAGTGGTTTCACCGCCTGCTGTGCAAGCACAAGGACCCGAGTTCGATCCCCAGTACCAATAAATAAATTTGGGGGGGGGTACCGGGGATCGAACTCGTGTCCTTGCGCTTGCTTAGCAAGGGGCGAAACCACTGAGCTAAATCCCCAGCCTCCACCAATAAATAAATAAATTAATTAATTAAAATAAAAATAAAAAGCACTGTGGCTGTGGCTCAGTGCAAAGGCCCTAGGTTTAATCCCCAGTACCACCACCAAAAAAAAAATGCTCACAGGATGAAGCCTTTCCCCAGACCCAGGGCCCATCCTGCATGTTCTTCCCTATGCCTGCAGTGCCTCCGCCTCTCCTTCTCCGGCTCCTGGTGTCACCTCCTCCTAGATGCCCTCCTTGAACCCTTGGCACTAAGAGCCCCCACGGTGATAATGCGACCATAATGCTTTACCACTCGCCTGGCCATGCTCTTGTGTGATGCACTGAACAGGCGGCAGCATCTGTGTCCCCAGCACAATGTGGGCTCTCGGTGCACTTGGTAGACAGTTGGTGGAATAAATAAATCAGAAAATCCTCTCTGTCTGTCTCTCTTTGTCTGTCTCTCTCTTCCTTTGGGGGGGTTTTTGTTGTTGTTTTGTTTTGTTTTTAGGGGGATTGACCCCAAGGTCTTCACACCAAACTACATCCCCAGTTCCTTTTTTATTTTTTATTTTAAGGCAGAGTCTCACTAAATTGCCCAGACTGGGTTTGAACTTGCAGTCCTCCTGCCTCAGCCTCCAAGAGTTCTGGGGGTATGGGCCTGCACCACCACACCCTGCTCAAAACAAGAACCTCGCTTAACTGCATCTCCTGTACACCCTGCCTAGACAAAAATGAACTGAGTGGATGGTTGTGGGCTCTCAGGTCAGACAGTGGAGAAATACTTGTGTGTGTGGTGCATACTTGGTAGGGACTGGGAACACTGCAGGTGACGTCACAGAACCCAGCCCTGCACTCCTGGAAGAAGAGGGAGTTTTGTTTTTGAAGAGAGCTTTTTAAAAGAAATGAAAGATGAATTCAGTAAATTTAAGAATATTCTAGCTGGGTGTGGTGGTGCACGCCTGTAATCCCAGCACTCTGGAGGCTGAGGCAGGAGAATTGTAGCGAGTTGGAGGCCAGTCTGGGCTACATAATGAGTTCAAGGCCAGCCTGAACTGCATAGCGAGAGCTTTCCTCAAAAAAAAAAAAAGAAAGATAGTTTCAAAAGACTGAAATAATGAGTATATTCTTTGACATAGGAATTAAAAATCACTAACAATAAAGCTATCAAAAAGCCTAAACCTAAAAAAAAAAAAAAAAACCCAAACCTAAAACAGTGGCTCACACTCATAATCCCAGCACTCTGATGCTGAGTCAGGAAGATCACAAATTTGAGCCCAACCTGGGCAACTTGGTGACTTAGTGAGACCCTGTCTCTCAAATAAAAAATGGGCCTGGGCTATAGCTCAATGTGAAGGCCCTGGGTTCAATCCCCAGTGCCCAGAAAAAAACAACAACAACAGAAGTCCAGATATTTAAGAAGCCACATATTCCTAAACAGTCTCTGAGTCATAGAAAAATTTAAAAAAAAATATGCCTATGTCTAACAATGACACAGGAGCACAATATCAAAAAATGTGATTCAGTTAAAGCATTGCTTATAGGGCATATAGAGAGCTTTGAATGCTTATACTAGCTGGAATAGTTTAAGATAAGTGACCTAACCTTCCATCTGAAGAAGCTAGGATAGGCTACATAGTGAGTTCAAGGCCAGCCTGAACTACATAGTGAGACCCTGTCTCAAAAAACAAAAACAAAACAAATATTCAATCCCTGGTACCAAAAAAAAAAAAACAAAAACAAGCTGGGCATGGTGCCCTGAACTATAAAGAGAGACCCTGTCTCAAAAAAACAAAACAAAAGCCCCCCCAAAAGACAGGAAGCTAGGAAATGGAAAAACCAATTACACATCAGATAACTAAATGAACATAAAATAAAGGTTAGCCAAGTGTGGTGGGAAATACCTGTAATCCCAGCACTTGGGAGGCTGAGGCAGGAGGATCACCATGAGTTCGAAGCCAGCCTTGGCTACATAGTGAGACCCTGTCTCAAAATAAAAAATAAGAAAACCACTAGGGATGTAGGTTAGAGTAAAGGCCCTGGGTTCAATCCCCAGTACCACACACACACACACACACAAACACACACACAAATAATAATAATAATATTGATAAAATTCACTAACCCCTAGCAAGACTAATCACGAAGAAAGAAAAAACACAATTTACCACTGTGAGGAATGAAGTAATGGACGTCAGTTCAGATCCTATAGACATTGAAAGACTATTAAGGGAATATAAACAACACTGTATTAATTAATTCAACAAATTAGACAAAATAAGCAAATTTCTTTAAAAATATATACATGCGGGGCTGGGGATTTAGCTCAGTGGTTCTGCTGCCTGCCTCAAAAGCCCTAGGTTCTGAGTTTGATCCCCAATACCAAAAAAATATGTATACACATGCTAATTGCAATAACTAAAACCTTTAAGATTCTGGGAGAATTTAGCCAGGGGAGGAGTTCAGAGGAGTTTGGAAAGGTTTCCCAGAGGTGATATTTAAGCTGTGACCTAAAGGAGAAGTGGGATTTAACTGGGTTGATGGAACTGTGTCTCAGGCAGGCGGAAGAGCATGTCCAAAGGCCCTGAGGTTGGAACAAGCTTTGTCCAGAGGGAACAGTCCACTTGAGTGGTGCTTCTGTTGCTTGGTGGGCACAGACTACAGCCTTCTCAGTGCAAAGCCCCAGAGGGAACTGCTTGGCTTGAACAGAAACATTTACCCAGGTGAAAGCAAACCTACCCATAAGATAGAAGTGTGGAAGTTTCTGGGCTGTTTACTTGCAATTTACCCTGCAACCTATATGATTTCTTCAAATGTAGACCTGGTATTCCCTTTCTTCCCTGTAGCTGCCCATTGTGGGTACTCACAACCTCCTAAGCATTTTTCTTGAAGCAAAACATTTATTGGTACATTTTAGGTATACATAATGATATAATTCATCATAGGGAATTTGCATCTGTATATGATAGATCTTGCTTCTTCTTTTTTTCCCATTCCCCTCCCCTTCCTTCAACCCCTCTTCCCCTCCCCGTTATAAAAGCTTTGTTTCCATTTTATCCCTCCGTTCTCTTTTTTTTTGTAGTCCCTTCTTTTCTTTCCCCCTCCCCCTTCCTTGTTCCCCTTCTCATTTTAACATTTTCTTCCCATTTCCCAGTATCTATTATACATTTTGGGTTTTATTTACACTTTCTGTTTCTCAGACCAAAGAAACAAACATTTTTTTGAGATAGGGTTTTGCTAAGTTGCTAAGTTGCCCAGGCTTTGTTCAAATTTTGGATCCTCCTGCCTCAGCCTCCTAGAGTTCTGGGATCACAGGCATGGGCCACCATGCTGCTTTAGTTATTGGGTCTGACACCTGATTTCTTTGGCTCTCATGTCCACTACTCTTAGCCCCATTCAAAGTCAGATCTCTTCTGAGGTCACAGAGGCCAAGCCCTGGTCACCGTGCTCTGCCCTAGATTTGTTTTGGTTTTGGCACTGGTTGAACCATCATTTGCTAATCTGGCATGGGTTTTTCTTTTTCTTTCTTTTTTTTGAGACAGAGTCTCACTATGTAGTTCAGGCTGGCCTTAAACTCACCGTTTAGCCCAGGCTAGCTTGAAACTCAAACTCTCGATGAGCCTTCTGCCTCAGCCTCCCCAGTGTTGGGATGACAGCCAGGCACTTGGCCATGGGTTTCCTAGCCTGGTGTCACTGCCCATCTCCAGCACCAGGAATTTTCTTGGGTGGAGGGAAGGAGAAAACAAGCCCTCCCCATCTCATTCATCTTCCCTCCAAACTGCAAACCGCAGTGGTGCATTTAGGGAAGGGGTGGGGAGAGGATAGAGTCCCTCTGGGTGCCTGGTGTGAGTGCAATTTCCTGCCCCTGAAGAAACACTTGGTTCCAACGAGCCTGCTTCTCTTTTCCCCTCTCTGGCCTTACAGGAGGAGTTGGCCAGGAGCCCTGGACCCTTCTGGCCCTGGCCAGATCCCTGGCCTGAGGACGCAGAGGAGAGATGCCCTGGGCTGTCCTGCTCCTTGCAGCTGGTGAGTGTGACAAATGCCCAGCACCTCAGCCACTCCCCAGCCCCTGCCCACGCTGCTGCTCTGGGGGCAGAAGCCCAAGGTGGCAGCGGTCCCTTCCCAGGTAACGGAGGTCATAGAGCAGGGACAGATGGGCACAAGAGCCTTGGAAATGGCCCAGGCTCTTCTGCTCAGGCACTTCATGGTCCCCAAGTCAAACCTTCAGAACTGTCACCCCGCTGGGTCCCCCGCTGCCCTCACCCTGTGACTCAGCCCCAAGGCTCTGCAGGCTCCTGCACTGGGGACTTGTGGTGCAGAGGCTGGCCAGGGTCCACCTTGCCTGCCACACACTGGTCCCAGGGACACACTCCTGCAGGAAGCAGCTCAGCTCTCCCTGGCACAGGCTGGGGACAAGGGGCCCAGCTGCCTGCCTGCCTCCCCGGCTCTGTCTCATTTCTCCTGGATTTCTTTTCCCTTCCTCCTCCTCTTCCTCCTCCTCCTCCTTCTTCTTCTTCTTTTTTTTTGGTGGTACTAGAGATTGAACCCAGAGCACACTGAGCTGCATCCCCAAACCCAACCCTTTTTTATTTTTGAGACAGGGTTTGGCTAACTTGCTAAGTTACCCAGACTCTGTTCTAACTTGTGATCCTCCTGCCTCAGCTGCCAAGAATGCTGGTATTACAACCAAGCACTGGGGCCGGGGATTTAGCTCAGTGGTGCTGCTGCCTGCTTTGCAAGTGCAAGGTCCCGAATTCGATCCCCAGTACCAAAAACAAAAAACAAAAAACAACCAAGCACCATCCATACCCAGCTGAGACCTAGGTTTGCTCTCTAGCACCCTTCTTCTCCCTAAAGAAGGCACAGAGAGGGTCCTCTCCTTGCCCACACACCTCACTCCTGCAGTCTGACTGCACCACCTTGCTACTACTTTATTTTGTTTTCTTTTGTTTTTGGTACCGGGGATCCAACTCAGGACCTTGCACTTGCAAAGCAGGCAGCTGAACACTGAGCTAAATCTCCAGGCCTGCTGTACTTTTTTTTTCTGTCTGGCACTGAGGATTAACCTAGGACCTTGCCCTGAGGTACATCCCCAGTCATTTTATATTTTTTATTTTGTTCTCACTAAGTTGCCTAGGCCGGCTGGAACTCGCAGTCCTCCTGCTTCAGCCTCCCAGAGTGCTGGAATTCCAGCCATGTCCCGTGGTGCTCAGCTCAGCTCCTCTTCCTCTGCACCACAGGCTCGTTGGCCATCCCAGCACCATCCATCTTCCTGGTACCCCCCTATCCAAGCAGCCAGGAGGACCCCATCCACATCTCGTGCATGGCGCCCATGGCTTTCCTGGGGGCGAACTTCACGCTGTACCGAGGGGGACACGTGGTGCAACTGCTGCAGGCCCCCGAGGACCAGGCTGGGGTCACGTTCAATGTGAGTGCCAGCATGGGCAGCGAGGTTCCCGGTGGGCAGTTCCGCTGCCAGTACAGCGTGATGGGCGAGCACAGCCAACAGCAGCTGTCGGACCTCAGCCAGCCAGTGCAGGTCTCCTTCCCAGGTGAGTCCCCAGGGCTGCCTCCCTCCTCAGGGACAGCTTTCCAGGAAGACCAGGTCCATTCACCCACCTTTCTTTTGTAGATCCTCACAACCACCCCAGGAGATAAGGAAGCTCAGAGCTGGCTGTGGTGATGCAGGCTTGTAATCTCAGTGCTCTGGAAGGCTGAGGCAGGAGGATCACAAATTCCAGCCCAGCCTTGGCAACTTAGTAATTTATGAGCCTCTGTCTCAAAAAATACAAAGGGGGTGGGGATGGAGCTCAGTGAAAAGGGCCTGGGTTCAATACCCACTAATGAAAAGAGAGAGAGAGACAGAGAGAGAGAGAGAGAGAGGGAGAGAGAGAAACTGAGGCACAAAACCCACAAGGGCTTCCAGTCCCCCAGGTAATAAACAGCAGAGCCATTGGCCTCAGAGTCCAAGAATCAAATCACCCCACTAGACTGCACCATCCCCTCTTGGCTGCGTACAATTCTGGGCACCTACTATGCGCCAGGCCCTATCCTGGCACCGTGGGTTCAGAAGTGAGTGAGACAGACAGCATCCCTGCCTGCCTGCAGCTGCCGTCCCAGGGGTGGGGACAGATGATAAACAGGGGACCCAGCAAATATTCAGTCTGTCAGAGGCCAGAGGACGAAACTCAGCATGGTGGAGTGTGTCATTTTAAGTGAAAAGTAAGACGGACAGGGAAGTCCCCTCACTCTCTTTCTCTTTTCAGTACTTGGGGTTGAACCCAAGGCTTTCACACTGAGTTACATCCCCATCTCTCTATTTTTATTTTGAGTCAGAATCTTGGTTAATTACCAGGCTGTGCTCAAACTTGTGATCCTCCTGCCTCAGCCTCCCAGAGTGCTGGGATCACAGGCGTGCGTGACCACATCTGGATCAGGGATGATCCTCTCTGAGGAGGTGATATTGAAGCAAAAATCTGAATGAAGCTGAGCACAGCAGAACACACCTGTAGTCCCAGCTTCTTGGGAGGCTGAGGCAGGAGAATCACTTGAGCCCAGGAGTTCAGGAACATGAATTGAAGGTCAGCCTGGGCTACATAGCAAGACTTTGTTTCTCAAAAAACGGTCAGGGGAGCCTCTAGCCAGCTTCCATGTCACCCATAGCCAAGTGTACCTTGTGGCCAGGCCCAGCCCACTGGCCGCAGTGACACTGCGCCTCTATGTCCTTCTCAGCCTCCAGCTCCTGTCAAAGGCTCCCTTCTCCACCTTGGCCTTGCGGTCTCTGAGCAGGGAGGCGACCCAGCCCTGCCACACTGAATGAATGAACAAGGCCTGGCTTTGTCAGAACACCAGGCACTTTCCTTCCCTCCTGGCTGAGTGGCCCCCACTCGACTAGGATCAGAGGTCTGCTCCCCAGGCCCCCCAAAAGATGCCCTCTGTGTTCTGGGAGGAGAAAGTTGAGTCCTCCATGGAGAATTATGCCCATCATCAGCTCTGGGTACATTTCCTACCAGCACCGTAGTACTACTACACAGGGGAATAAACCTCTTTTCCCATTGCCCAGCCAAAGTTCCAGAGTCACTTTCCATTGGCTTTGCTTGGGTTACATGCCTGTGCCTGAACCAATCACATTGGCGAGGGGAGGGAATATGCTAATTCGCCAGATGCAAGGTTGCTAGGTGCCTAGGGTCAGCTACACTGGAGCCCAGGGTTGGGGGTCTGTGGACAGTGCTGGCTCCTCCCAGGTGACATTCGCTTTTTGGGTTTCCCCTAGTGCCCACTTGGATCCTGGCGCTCTCCCTCAGCCTGGCCGGAGCGTTCCTCCTCCTTGCTGTGCTGGTGGTCTTTGCTGTGGTGGCCAGGAAAGGTAACAGCAGAGCGAACACTGGGAGCTCCCACACAGTCTTTAGCACAGAGGCGGTGGCCCAGTGGAGTTACTCCAGGATTTAGGAGGAAGAAGCTGGTCCAGAGTGAGGTGGTGGTGCTGGGCACCTAATATGCACCCATTCCTTCGTATCCGTGGGCATTTGTTCTAGGACACCTTGCAGATGCCCAAATCCACAGCTGGGCATGGTGGCGCACGCCTGTCATCCCAGCACTCAGGAAGCTGAGGCAGGAGGATCCCCTTGAGTTCAAGGCCAGCCTGGACTACATAGCGAGATCTTGTCTCAAAAAAATTTTTTTGTGTGTCCATACTAAACATGTATAAAGCTTTTTCCTCATCATTATTCACAATATAGCAGCTCTTTTTTTGGGTGGTACTGAGCATTGAACCCAGGACCTCTGCACCAAACTATATCCCCAGCCATTTTCTATTTTTTAGTTTTTTTTCTTTTTTTTCTTTTTTTTGGTACCGGGGCTTGAACTCGGGTCCAATTTTCTATTTTTTATTATGAGACAGGGTCTTAACCAAATTGGCCAGGCTGGGGTTAAACTGTGATCCTCCTGCCTCAACATTTTTTTGTTTCTTTGTTTGTTTGTTTTTGGTACCAGGGATCTAACTCCGGACTTTGCGCTTGCAAGGCAGTCACTGTGCCACTGAGCTAAATCCCCAGTCCTCAGCCATTTTTTATGTAAAGGATCTGAGCATGCCTGGATTTCAGTCTCTGGGAGGAATCCTTAAAGGAATCCCTTATAGATAGACACTGAGGGCAGCTGGATCCATTTGTAACTGTGATAAAATATACACAGCATGCATTCAGTGTCATGAAGTACATTCATGTTATTATGAAACCATCACACCATCTACCTAGAATTTTTTTCATTCTCCGTTGAAACTCGATCCACATTAAACAATAGCTCCTCATTTCCTCCACCCCAACGAAATGCATATTTAAAAAAAAAAGTTTCTATGCTTATTTTTGCTTAAAGTTTTTATCAAGTAACTAGAAAAAAAATGAAGCCAGGTGTGGCGTAACATGCCTGTAATCTTAGCTCTCTGGAGGCTGAGGCAGGAGGATTGCTGTGAGTTCAGGGCCAGTCTAGACTACATAGTGAGACCCTGTCCCAATCAATCAATCAAACAAACAAATAAGTAAGTAAATAAAAACATCAGGGCCAGGAGCAGTAATGCATGTCTGTAATCCCAGCTACTCAGGAGGCTGAGGCAGGAGGCTGAGGCAGCCTGGTGGGACCTAATGAGATGAGAGAGAAAGGAAAAAGAAACAAAATCATTTGTTTACAGTAGCTCTTATGTTGAGGGGGAGATGTATAAAGAGGGCTTTTAATTTCATGGGTGCAGAAGCTTGTTCCATGCACGCAGAACCAAAATCTAACAGATGCGTCTTTGTTTCCTGTTCCAGTTAAAGTCAAAAATTTACAGAAGAAACGGTGAGCCCTTCCCTGGGACACTCCGAGGGGTGGCTTGGGGACAGAAGGGCACTTCCTGGCGGGTGAGCGCCCTCTGGTGGAGGACCGGCGAACAGGAGCAAGTACCACTAAGCACCCACTGCGCGCTGGGCACTGTGCAGGGAGGGTCGCCCTGTCTCGCTCTTCCTTCCCACTTCCCCTTGCGCGAGCTGCTACGCTGTCATCGTAGTAACTCGGGATGTCTGGGTGGATTTCTGTGGGTTTCCCCGGCCCTGCACCAGGGTGGCCCTGGTTCCTGTCTCATAGTGTGGCTGCTCTACTAGTCAGGACCCTTGCGGGGAGGATCTAGGGTGGTCCAGCGTTGGGCCTGATTTGGGGTCCAGCCCTCGGATTCTGTCTCATGGGCAACCTTGCTTCTGCCCTCTCCGCAGAGAACGGGAATCGTGCTGGGCACAGGTTAACTACGCCAACACAGGTTTGTGACTCCTTGCTCCTGACCCCACCGGGGAGGGCATTCTGGGAAAATGCCACTGAAGTCAGGCGTGGTGATGTGCTTCTGTGATCTCAGCACTCTGGGAGGAGGCTGGGGCAGGAGGATGGAAAGTTCAAGCCCAGCCTGGGCAACTACTCAGAGAGTCGGCAAGATCCTGTCTCAAAAATAAAGAAGGGATGGGTTGGGGATTTAGCTCAGTGGTTCCACTCCCTGCCTCGAAAGCACAAGGTCCTGAGTTCTATCCCTGGTACCGGGGAAAA